TTGGTTGATCCCGTAGTTCTGTCCACTCCACTCACTATTATCCATTTAAATGTAAAATCTAATCAAAAAATTTTAGAGATTTTAAACAAGCATTAAAACATTTCCAACTTGCTTCCCAATCTGGACATATTTTGGCAATTTACAATTTAGCCCAAATGCATGCAAAAGGCACAGGAGTATTTCGAAATTGTAAATTCGCTGTAGCCTTGTACAAAAATGTAGCAGAAAGGGGACGTTGGACAGAACGCTTTATGGACGCTTATCTAAAATTTCAAAACAATGCAATTGACGAGGCTGCTTTCAGATATTTATTTTTGGCAGAATTGGGATATGAAGCAGCGCAGACTAATTTTGCCTATTTAATTGACTCGCAGGAGGGAGGTGGAAAAGATGAAAAATTGGCTTTGTTTAGTAAGGAGGAGGCGTATAGAAGGGCTTTTATGAATTGGCAAAGGGCTGCTAATCAGGTTTTTTTTGAAAATTTTTGAAATTAAAAAAAATTTTTCCAAAGGATTATCCCGTTGCCCGTGTAAAACTGGGAGATTATAAATATTATGGCCTTGGAAGTGATTCCGATTTGCAAGAAGCAGCAGAACATTATAAAATAGCTGCTCAAACACATCAAAATGCACAAGCAATGTATTTTTAAATTTAATAACCTCGCTATAGGAACACCAAAATTGGATAAACCTCAATTTAAGATACTCTTCTAAAATTAGGCTTACTCCATTAGGCAAGGACCGTATCCAGAGGTATTTCATGGTGGGCTAAAATTGGGTTTGGCCATCTGAAATCCGACCACCTCCAATTTAAATTTTTAACCCCACGGGTGTATCTTATAGTGAGGTCCGACTTTACTTAAAAAATATTCTTTAATAATTTTCAGGTTCAATTTGGGTTATATGCACGAGAATGGTATTGGAGTGAACAAAGTTTGTTGATTTCTCCATTATAATAAAAAATTCATTTTTCTGTTAGGACCTTTACTTGGCAAAACGTTTTTATGATTCTGCAGCTGAAACGAGTACAGATGCTTTTTGGCCTGTTACTATAGCTTTAATGAAACTTAAAATTGAATTTTTAATGATGGTATTCTTTAAAAAAAATTTTCAAAAAAAAATTTTTTTAAGAATTTTGCTCAAAAAGGAGGCATTTCATTTAAATTTCTGGACAATTTGGACACGCTATTAGGCCCAGACTGGGATCTTTATGCGATGAGTTTAGCTTTTGGACTAGCTGTGTGGCTTGGTATTTGTTATTTTAGAAATCGATTTGCTAGGGGTTAAAAGTGTATTTTTTAAATGTTTTTTAAATATTAGAGATATATTCGGGGAAGGAAAATTTAAGTAAACCACCCAATGAAAAAAATTTGTTCAAATTCGAGGTCCATGGTTCGAACCCGCTCAGGGAAAATTATTTTTATTAAAATATATCTCTAATATAAAAATTTTTTTTCTATCTTATTTGTACATTCAAACTCTCTTTTCTTTCACAGGTATACATTTTTATGTTAGTTATACATATATTTATTTTCGGATTAGAAAAAAACTAGGGTTGGTCCTCGATTCGTTGTAGAGAACATTTTCGGAGAACAGGGATGTTGGGAAGACTATCGGGCATACGGAGTAAAGAATGGATGGACGAGGATCGATGCATGGCCTATAAATCATTGTCGAGCAAAACGAAGAATTAGGACCAACTCTAGAGAAACCTATCTTTTGACCCTCTTTAAAAATCTTTATTTTTATCGATAAAATTCAAGAGATTGTTTTTTAATTATGGGCTTTTTAACTTGATTCCCTGTCGTTAAAAAAAGGAAGAAAATTTTTATCGAGTCAAAAAAATCAAAAAAATAATAATAAACGTGTTGGAGGATTTTCAGAAGGAATGGACCGTTTCTTTATAATTTTCTGAAGAGCAAAAACAAAAATTTTTTAAATATTTTAAATTCTCTCCAAACCTTCCCTCCATTAAATCGTCACATTCATCTCCAATCTCAACGCATTTGAATAATTCCAGCCTGGCGCAGTTTCATTAATTTGGAAAAAATGTCCGGGTTCTTTAAATGCTCACGAGCGGCGTTCTAAAAATTAAAAGGTAATTAAGGAAAAATTTAGCTAAAATATAACCGGATCCTGACTCATTTGCTCCAAAAGCATTCGCATTCCTGGATCACGCAAAATCTGAAAAAATATTTTAAAATTAGTTTTACTTGAAAATGTGGGAAGTATGAACTTTATAGGCATCTTTCTATTCAATGATCTCTTTCTATTTCCATGAATCGAAGAGCCACGTCTTTAACTTCTGGGTCCTGAGGGGACTAGCCGACGATACCTATTATAGAGGACCCCGCATAAACCTTTTTTGCCAAAGCTCTTGGACTTTTGGTCTTGCAGAGAGGTAAAACATGGGAAGATAGAATAAATACTATAAGGTCCAAAAAAGTTCAGGCCCATAAAAGTTCAAATTCCCAAAAAATTTTCAAACCTCTTGAACTTCTGGATCCTGCAAAGCACGTTCCCTAGCCTTTTCAGGATCTTCATCATTAGAACGAATACAATTCGTGAATCCTTCAATAGCCTCTTGATTATTTGGGTCAATTGTCATTGCATCCTCATAAGCTTTTTGGGCTCTACTATACTCACGCATTGCATAAAGAGCTGCTCCCTTGCGAATATAGGCTTTGACTGAAAAATAAAAAAAAATCAAAAGAAAATCAGAACAAAAAATCAGAATTTAATCAGAAGAACCGTTCCCAAGTAACCCAAAAAAATTAAAATTTTTCTTACCAAATTTCGGATCTCGTTTTATACAAGTATCACAATCATCAATAGCCCTTTGAAATTCCATCAATTTTGTATAACAAGCAGCTAAAATAATTTGAACTTTATTTGTAAAATTTATAAAAAAAAACCTCTATTAGAATAAAGCACATGATTATCCGGATTACGCTTAAGAGCTTCATTGTAATGCTTCATTGCACCAGGATAGTCGCCTAAAAATGAAAAAAATTTTTTTATCAATCCTTGAGTGATGGGGAACAACGGAAAGTTCTCATCTAGAGTCATGTCCTCGCCCTTGTGGTTTGACCGGGAACAGTGAAAGGTTCTCACCCAAAACCATCGTCCTCGCGGACGAAGGTTGACCGAGGAACTTAGAATAGGTTCCTACCCAGAGCCAACATCCTCGTTCGAGGGGACGGGGTTGACTGGGGACAATGCTAGGCTCTAACTCATATCCACCTTCCCAGGGAATGAATGAGGCTAAAATCCCCTTGAAATGTTCCATCCACCTGCTCCCCTACCCTTAAATATTTAACCCTTCAAAAAAACCTTTCTTAAAAAGCTCGTTTCCACGGGTTTTTTCCTCTTCAGAGATTTTTGGGTCAATATAAGCCAAACGTTCCTTCTCTTTAACCAATTTTTCAAGCTCCTTTTGTTTCTTAACAATTTCAGGGTCACGATGTTCGGAGAGAGATTTTTCAATCCAATGCAAAGCCTGGGATTGGTCGTCTTGTTTCATATAACTGTTGCCAATACGGGCATAAGCTCTGAAAATAAAACTTATAAAATTAATAGTTAGTAGTATGGTTGTTGATCGACAGGGAGGAAGGAACATGTGGAAAATTTTCGGAGAAGTAGCGCCACGGAGGATCGGAGTGAAGGGGATTTCTGCTTACGAGGACGGGGCACAACCCTAGTTATCAAGGATGGGACGGGTTAAGAAAAACGAAGTCGAGCCGGATCGTCCTCGCATTTCGGTTTGAAAATCCGGGGTTTGTATTTGGGGAACCCATCCCATCTTTGATAAATGCTAAAAAATTGAAAACAACCAACTTTGCAATTTGTTTGTAATCAGCTCTGTTTTCACGACCAACTTCAGCAGCCTTTGTACACATTGAAATACACTCTCCATACTTTCCTTCTTCAAAGAAGACGGCTTAAAAAAATTTTTTTAGTCAAAACTAGATATAGGATATCCCCTAGTGACAAATTCGATTGCGAACTAGTCCCCTGAAACGGGGGAAAACTGGCTCGCAATTTTGGCCCCAAAAAGAATCAAAATACTGGCGAAAACCCCATGAAATCAGACCCACGGAAGCTTACATTGTTTTAAACCCGCCAGTAAGATCGAACCTTCACAACAGCGAAACTACTCAAAACCTATCCCAAAAATCCTAAAAATTAACTGAAACAAACCTGCTTTATTATTATAAAACACAATATTATTCGGGTCAAGTTCGATAGCCTTGTCATAATGCTCATGCGCTTTAGCAAAATCTTTCTTCTTGTAAGCCTCGTTGCCCAAATCCTTTTCTTTTAATGCCTAAAATAGAATAAAAATTGTGAAAATAAGTGAAAACCAAGTAAACCTTGTCACTCATTTTGTACGTTCAATGCCACAAAAACTGAAGAAATCGAAGAAAAGTGAATTTTTTTTAAATAAATAATCTATAAAGAGAAAAGAAAAAATTTACGTCCCTCTACTCACTTTCTTTGAAAAACGAAAGCAAAAAATAAAAAAAAAATTAATTTTGCCCCCAAACATTCCTTCCTTACAGAAGAAAGAGAGAGTTCTCGAATGATCTACGCGTATTTTGAAGAAAATAGAAATTCCTTCCCCACACATTTTGCCAGTAAGCCAAGGTCATATTTTACCAATAAGGGTAATTAACTTCTCGACAAAACGAGTGGTTTTCAACCTGTTGGCAAAATATAATTTTGGCAGAATATAACGGAGCCCAAAATTTTTTGTTTTCTTTCTCTAACTATAGGTTAGAGAATTTTAAAAGAAAATGACAAATAAATGCCAAAATGCCAAAAAATTTTTTTTCAAATTTATAAAAAAAAAATTCCAAATGTGCGCAAAAAACGCCAATCTTAAAAAATGAAAAAAATTTCAAAAATTTTTATCAAAAATTTTTTTTTGAAAAAATTTTAAAGAAATTCTTTAAAGAGAATAAAAAATTCTTCAAAAATTAAAAAATTAAATTTATTGCTTTAAAGTAACGTTCCATTTGTTGTTTGTCCGAACCATTGTTGGGGTTGTTGCTGATCCCAACCTAAGGAATGTTGTTGTTCTCTAGCCCAAATTAGACGGCGAAGTCTTTCAGTCCCTCCTCTATCGTTTAAAGACTGCTGGGAATGACCTGAACGAAAATTTTGAAAAATCGACAAAATGAGCCCTTTGGCAAAGTGAAAGTTGACAAAATGAAACTTTAAAAATTTTCAAACCTTTTTCATTTTCCCTATGAGAAATTGGACGAGGAGATGGTGGAGAGTGTTGTTGTGATTCTTTCCTAGCTCCAATACTTACACGTTCATCATGGGAGCGACCCATTCTTCCAAGTTGTTGTCTTCTATATTGTTGTTGTAATGGCCAATTGGGGGAAAGATTTGTTTCTTTTTGTGGTTGATAGTCAAATGATTTTTGTTGTTGGTAGGGATGTTGTTTTTGAGAGGGGCAATGACTTTGAGACACCTTTTTAAAGAAAAAATTTTTTGCGGACAAATTTTTGAGTTTGCGGACAAATATTTGCGGACTCGAGGAAACGACTGTGAAAAGTCCTCAGAAAAGCTAGTCCTTCATCAAACAACCCCATCCCAACTTATCAGTCCCATCCATTCCCTCTTCTTTGTCCCAGAAATTACAAAAAAAACCTTATATAGAGCAACAAATCCACAATTTCGACTTCTCAGCCTTTCACAAAAATCCAACGCCGCTATAGTATTGGATGGATGCAAAATGGAATTAAATTCACAAAGGAGAATGTAGACAAAAGGTGTTGATGTTGTTGTTGACTGCCCAATACTTTTTAACAGACAAACTTTTTGAAGGTCCCAACAACGCGGAGAATACTTTAAAAAATAAAATTTGGGTCATTCAAAGTAGAGATCGAGCTGGGTCTGGACCAAGGCCTGGGGGTATTCCTGTACCAAGGGTCCAGGCCTAGGCATTTTTTGGCCTCCCTGGGGGTTTTCCTGGGCCCGGGTTTTTCATGATTACAGGCCCAGGGTCCGGCCCAGGCAAATAGATCTTACTCAGAGACCAGGCCTAGGCATTTTTTGGCCTTCCTCGGGGTTTCCTGGGCCTGGGTTTTTCCTCGACTACAGTCCCAGGACCCTGCCCAAGTCAATAAATCAAACCCAGAGTCCAGGCCCGGGCATTTTTTTGGTCTTCCTGGGGTTTTCCTTGACCGGGGTTTTTCTTGGCTCCGGCCCAGTCAATAAATAAAACCGGGAGTCCAGGAACAGGCCCAGGCTTTTCAAAAATCTCGGTCACTAATTCAGAGTCAAAAAGGCAAACCTTGTAAATCTGTCCAGCCCCAGTCCAGTCTAACCATCTACTTTCCAAATCTGCATTAGACGAAGCACAATTCTCTCCCAAAAGGCGAAAAAATATGAAAATAAAGCCTTGGTGTTTTAAAGAATTTTTATTGACGGGCGATGGAGAGGCCGCTCTTTCTAATGTATAAAGTTGTTCATAACAACCTTTAAAAAGACATTAAAAAATAAAATTAAAAAAATATAACCTAATTGGATTCTTGTATCTTCAACATCCACCAATGCTTCTCCCAAATTGTTTATATGTTGCTCATGATCAGAAAGAGGAGAAAAATTTGCATAGTAGACAAACGGGAGTTTCGCTAAAAATACAAGTATAAAATTGGCATTATGGACGGCTGGTAATTTGACCCTTATGAAATGTTACCATTTTAAAATTTTACCATTTTGACACATTTTTTGTTATTTACCACTCTGACATTTTACCATTATGACCATTATTGAATTTTACCGTTTTTAAATCTGACCATTCTGAAAATTACCATTATGAAATTTTACCATTTTGAAATATTATTGTAATGTTACCATTTTGACATTCGCTACGGAAATTAAAAATTTTAAACTAACGTTCAGAATCAACGCATCGAAGAAAATAAATTTCAGAATTCAACGCCCAATCACCCTCTAAGGCAAACTTCTCCCAAAATGAATAAAGTGAGGCGTTTATTGGGGAAGAAGCAGAAGTAGATTGACAGGTAACAAATCCAAACAAAATCGTAGATCCATTGTTAAAGCAATTGTGTGAAGAAATTGAAAGAGGAGAGTGTGGAGAGCCCATTAAAGAAGAACGTGAACTGCTGAGAGGGTCTTCACAACACTGAAAAATTTTTTGACATTTTGTCGCCGTGGCATTTTGAAAAATTTTAAAAATATTCCCTTACCAAAGAGTATGCTTTCTGAATCAATCTGAATGGTTCAGCAACGTCAATATTCCTCTCTATTGTAGTCTGTGGTTCCCTATTGTAGTCATTGTTGTCTTCTCTTTCTGGAACGCTCCATTGTCTCGGGGGCAGGTGTTTACGCCTTCCGCTGCTTCGATTCCTAAATTATAAATATTGGTAAAGGATATCTGAGTATAGACTCAAAAGTGCCTTTACTGAGCCCAAAGTTCTCAATACTCAAACAGACCCGGACCGGGAAACCGGGAATTCCCGTTCCCGGGAAACGGATCCGGGTCCCGGACCCGTTCCGATCTCTACTGTCATATGAACGTTTGAGTCCAGTCAGTTTAAGTCCCAGTAGCCAGGAAGACTTTTAGAGTCTCATTACTTAACAAGGCGCACATTAGAGTCCCAAAAAACTTTATGTACTTTAGAGTCTCTAACTTATACTGAAATATAACCCTTACTCATTATTTAATTTCCGTCTTCTCATTTTATCATTTCCATTAGTCGATGTAGGCGAAGACAATGCTGAAAATATTAACGAAGCAAAAGATTGGGATTTTTCGCTTCCGCTAGCAGAAATACTCTTTTTACGTTTTCTTCTACTTCCGCCAGCATTGGATGACCTTAAATATTGTTAAAAAAGATTCATTAAATTTGCATAGATTTTTAAAGCTTAAAAGTCAACAACAAGTCATATGACAGGAACAAAAAAGGGAATGTTTACACTAACCCAGAACGTCAACAAAGTTGAGGAAAAAGAGTAATCTTAATACTCTAACGGGTCGGGAGCGGGAGAGGAAGTCACTAGAGTCTGGGTTATAATGAATAAACGGAGCAGTTCAACTGAGTCCGCACGATTGAGTCCCCACGATTGAGTCCGCACGATTGAGTCCCCACGATTGAGTCCCGGCACAATTGAGTCCCCACGATTGAGTCCGCACGATTGAGTCCCCCTTGTATATACCTCAATTGAGTCCCCGTGGATTTAATAAGTTTAAAATTTCCATATCCGGCATGCGGGATTATTCCAAAATTTCTATTTTTTAAAGTATAAATGCCGGACAGACCACCTGTGTACAGACCATCCGGACAGACCACCCCTGCTGCACCCCACATACCCTCCGTAGCAGCACAAAACAGTTTTCCAGCGCAGATTCAGTTGGTCATAACTTTGTTCAGAATCATTGAATCAAGCTGATTTTGATGTCATTCGACTCAGCTATTCGAGCCCTTTCGAATGAGGTATAATTTAATATTCGAATTTTTTGTCCCCAAAAATTCCCCCGTGGATTTGACCATTTCGAGCCCCATATCTCGGCGAGAACCATGTTGATTTTTGTGTCATTCGACTCAGCTCATTCGAATGAGCTGTCATTCAAAAAATCTCTCGATATCCCGCCTAATCCCCAAATCCACAATATCCACCCATATCCCCCTTAATCGCTTAAATCTACTTATATCTCTTAATATTCACCGATATCCAACTTGATCCCTCGATGTCACATACAGGTCCCCTTGATGTTCACTTTAATCCCCCCAAATCCACAGATACCCTCTTAATCCTTTTTAATATAATTAAATCTACGGGGACTCAATTGAGGTATATACAAGGGGGACTCAATCGTGCGGACTCAATTGGGGACTCAATTGTGCCGGGACTCAATCGTGGGGACTCAATCGTGCGGACTCAATCGTGGGGACTCAATCGTGCGGACTCAATTGAGGTGTACCGATGAATAATAGGGCATTAGAGTCTGTGACATAATAGGGTATTAGAGTCTTAACAAGTTTAGAGTATACCCAGTAGGACTACTAGATAGTATCCTATGTAGTCCTACCTTATAGTAAGACTACATAGGACTATTAGAGTCACAAAAAGTTCAGAGATTATACTCTAACCACTAGAGTCTGGATATACTTAAATAGAGTACTAGAGTCCCAACAACTTCTGAGAGTGTTCTCAAGTTACCTGCTCCGACTTGCACTGCTTGCACTTTGTTGTCTTTGAATTCTCGTTGAAGTGGAAGGTTCTTCCGGTTCCCCAATAGTAAGGGCTACAAATTCATTCTGAAACCCAGCATTCACCGCCCCACCACTCTGTCGTCTAAAATTATTTTTAAGGGGGGAATTTAATAAAGCTGTTGTGGTAGAAGTTGTCGTAGTCATTGTTGTGTTGGTGGTTCTTCTAGAGGAGGAGGAATAGGAGGAAGCGGGGCCTGTAAGTGATGTAACTAGACCAGTACTGGAAGCTCTCCTTTTTGAGGAGGAAGTGGTTGGGTTGAAAACGCGGTCGAAGGCGTCGAGGAAGAGATTCATTTAATATTTGAGGGGGGAAATTTTTTTTTTGAGAAGGAATTTTTCCTTTGTTTTTTAAATTTTTTTGCTAAAATTTGATTTTTGAAACCTTTGTTAAAATAAATATTTCAACGCCTATTTCGACGCTTATTCTTCATTTATAAGAGAATAGTAAGTTTTAAAGGCCTTTAAATATGGCAAGAAAGCTTGCAACTTGGCCAGACATGAAAGAAAATAAGGCTTAAAAGAGAAAAAGCACATTGGCGCTTTATAAAATAAAAATAGAAAATGTGTACTAGGCAAGGAAAATAATAAATAAATACAAAAAAGGATAAAGTATAGGGCAGTAAATGAAATAAAAAAAGCATAAAAATGAGGGGACTGGGCTTTTTGGCGCGAGCTTATTTATAATTGCTTATCTAGAAGGATAAAATTTTGCATTAACAACTCTCGTATCTTTGTCTAAGTTCTCCAAAAATTTCAAAATTTTTGAGCCAGAATTTCAGAAATTATGGCCAAAAATGTTGATTGATTATTCGAAAAATGCTTAATTTTTTGAGGTTTATCGGCTATAACTTGGGAAATATTTTGTGAAAAATTCTGAAATTTTTGGAGGAGGTAGTCAAGGATGTTAAAGAAATTTGAGAAAATTTTCAAGAATTTAGGTTTCGCCAAAGTGTCAGTTTTAAGTCTCGCGCCAAATGAACCGCGGGTGAACGACCCCAACCCGTGACGATCCCTTCATAAGTTATAGGGTCCGGAACTCAGTTGAGTCGGGACTCAGTTAAGGTGTACCCCCGGATTCGATATATTCTAACGAAATTATAGCTTGGTGTTAAATTGGGCTGGAGGGATGTTGGGGGTGTACCCGGGCATAAATTATTCAAAAATTGATTTTAAAATTCAAAAAAAAAGTTTTTTTTTGGAATTTAATAATAAAAAGAGGGGAAAAGTATTTTAAGGAAATTGAATAAATTTAATAAAAATATTTTTGTGCGTGTTTCACATTTTAATAAAGAAGACTGACTGAAAACCTTTTTTTTATTCAATTTATTCACAAAATCCCTCCCACGCAGATAAAGGGAGGAATATATGGCATATTAAAATATTAAAAAAGAATTGGAAATGAAGAGGGGAATGATGGGAATATTTTACTTTTTTTTAAATTGGTGGTAGGCTGGTTGCTAGTGAAACGGCATTTTTTAAATGATGTATAGAGAGAGAATGGAAAATAAAAATTAAAAAAATAATTAAAATTAAAAAATTAATATGAGAGTATTTTAAATCTTGGGGTACTTCAAAATGATGTGACAAGAAAATCCAAATCCGATACAGATGATCAACAATAGCTCATTTGAAAGATTTTATTCAGAATTTAATAAAATGTGATTGGACTAATAAAGTCAAGTAGAACCAACAATCTATATGGAGTATTGTTTGGGGCATGGAAAATTCAGAGAGGTGTTTCTGCCTGATTCCAGAACGGATATGGACAAATAAAAGCTCCTTCGAAAGAAAAACGGTCTCTAAAAACCCTTCCCCTAAAGAAAATATTTTATAAACCGATCGAAAATTTCAAGAAAATTTGACAATCAAGAGCACGTGTCAGTGAAAAAAATCATATTTCTGCTGGGACTCACAAATCAGACTCAATCATTATGTAAAATTTACCATCGAACACTAACTTTTAATCAAAAAAGAAGTTTGCACTTTAATTTGATGCACTTTAAAATTTTCTCTATTTTTTTATTTAAATTCGTTAACAAAAAAATTTATAAAGGATTAAAATCAGACAGCATTTACCCCCCGTTAATTCTCGAATTAGTGAACCGCAAATGTGTGGTAAAGACAAGTAAATTGTTGATAAACAATGATAAATAGTTGGTTGTTAACTGTCCAGTTTTTTTTCCTAATCATGGGGAGGGGTGGTGTTTTTGCTCTGTTATTTTCTTTGACGATAACCTCGTGAATTGCCTGATCAAAGTATTTTTCAATTTTATTTAATTTTGGGTAGTTAAGAAATTAATTTTTATTTAAGAAAATTTTTTAAATTTAATTTTTTAGCATTTTTATAATTTAATATTTTTATTAATTTGTAATGAAATTTATTTTGCAACCACCCCTTCTATTTAATTTAACAACACTTAATGGAATTCCAAGTTTATTTTTTGTGCGATCTGCGGTCAATTCAGAATGCAGGTTTTGTAGAGGTGTGGTTTATCAGAATTTTTACAAATCAGAATTCTTTAAATCGGGGTTTTTTTACAAACCAGAATTTTTTCAGAATTTTTATAGATTTTTTACAAATCAGAATTCTATTAAAAATCAGAATTTTTTTCAGAATTTGTTGTAAATCAGAATTTTTTTCAGAATTTGTTGTAAATCAGAATTTTATTTTAAATCAGAATTTGTTTAAGAATCAATCTTTTTACAAATCAGAATTTCTTTCTAAGTCAAAATTTTTAATAATCAGAATTTATTTTTCTCTAAATCAGAATCATTTTATAAATCAGAATTTTATTTTAAATCAGAATTTCTTTCTAAATATCAGAATTTTTAGTAATCAGAATTTATTATTTTTTCAAATCAGAATTTTATTTACAATTTGTAATACCTAAATTATTTATTTTTCTTGACTAAAAATTAAAATATAAAGGTAATTGAATATATTTAGCAAAAAAAGGAGATAACAATCAGAAATTGTACTAAATATAAAACATCAATTTAGGGAAATATTAGAATATATAAATAGGTAAAGGAGCGCCGATCATTAGCCGTTTTGACCGAAAAATAAAAACAAAAATAGGGGCAATCTTGAAACATTTTAGTGAACGAATAATCTTTTTTTAGTCAATTAAAATAAAATAATTTAATTAAAAAATATTTCCTACTTGTTTTTTTAATTCAAAAAATCGTTATCACGCTTCGCTCAACTTTGTTAAATTTTCATTGTTTTTGTCCTTTTATTTTTTAAGTTTGTTTAAAAATAAGTAAGTTTATTTTTAATTTTTACAATTTTTGAGAACCAGAATTTACAAATTGTAATTTTTAGTCAGAAAGTTTAAGTATACATAGAAATCAGAATTTGCAAATTGAAAATTAAATAAAGTCAGAATTTGTAATCTTTCAGGATCAGAATTTGTAATTTTGAAACAGAATTTACAATTTTAAAAACCAGAATTTACAAATTGTAAAATTAAATAAAGTCAGAATTTGTAATTTTCCGGAATCAGAATTTTTATTTTGGTAACCAGAATTCACAATTTTTAAAATCAGAATTTACAAATTGTAAATTAATTCTAAAAATCAGAATTTGTAGGCTTAATTTTATAAACAGAATTTACAATTTGTAATAAATTTTTAGGAGGAATTTTAATTAATAATTACGAATATTAATTTCAGAATTATTTTTTTAATTTTTAAATAATTTAATTTTGCTATTATTTTTGAATTGATTTGGTCGTTCGACAATCATTCGACACTAATTGTATTTTATCAAATCAAAACACACTCATTTTTCAAAATTTCTTTTATTATCATTTTAAAAATTATTTTGGAAATGTAGACATATTTTTTATATTTTTTTAAAATTTATTTCAAATTTTTTTTTAAATTTTTCCCAGAGATTTTTTAAATTGATTTATTGTTGTAATATTATCAAAGTGTATTCAACATTCCAACATTTTTATTTTTTTTTCATTTTTTAAATTAACTTCAATTTTATTTTTATTTTATTTTTTATTTTCTTTGTCTATTTTTTAACAAAAAATTTTTAATTTAAGTTCTCTTATTTTTTAATTCGGAAATTTTTTCACTTAATTTAATGCCAAGCTTTCTAAAAATCCCAAAAAAAATCTAAAATTTTTTAATCATCATTTTCCCTCTAAAATGTTCAGAAAGAATGAAACACAATAAAGTAAAATTTAAAATTCCTTTGAGAATTTTAAAAAATCACTTTAATTCCGTTTTATAGTGCCAGAACAGATGGGCGCGTTAAAGCCGTTTTTAGGGTGACTGGGTAAATCATAAAAATTCAAATTTTTTTTCATTTTATTTAGTAATTTCTGAATAACGTCAAATTTAATTAGTTAAAGTTATTCAATTTTTTAGGATTTTTTAAAATTTTATTTTTAATTTAGAACATTATTTATAGTTAACTATGTGTTCTGGAACGGTGGTTTTTGGTCTTTTTATTTTTACCAAAATATTTTTTTGGACTACATCGTTTACTTTATTATTTGAATCCACTTTTTATCTGCCAAATTTATTTTTTTTATTTTTTTTATTTTTTTTTATTTTTTAAATTTTTTAGAAATATTTTAATCCTTCTTATAAGAATTTAATTAATTATACCTTGATACAAAGAAAAATAGAATTCAAAATACAAATCAGAATTATTTCAGAATTAAATATTAATTTTTGTATTTTCCGGAAAGTTAATAATACTTATGTATTTCGGAATTTATTATTAAGTTTTGTGTTTTCCGGAAAGTATTTCAGAATTAATTTTCAAGTTTGTATTTTCCGGAAGTTTTATTTTTCTGATTTTGTATTTTCCGGAATGTTAATACTATTTCAGAATTAAGTATTAAGTTTTGTGTTTTCCGGAACTTTTGTATTTTTCTATTCCAAAATTATTTAAATAATTCCAGAATTATTTTTCAGAATTTAAAAATTAATTATTAAATTTTGTATTTTCCGGAATCCTTTTTATTTAAATTTAATTAAATTAGTTAATTAATTTAATATTCCTCAGGAATACAAATCAGAACAACTTCTCATCTCCCTTATATATCCGCCAGAAATAATTTTTTATCCTACAAAACAAATAAAAATCTTCTTTATCGGAAACAACATTTTTCACAAATGGTTGCAGAATCAATTCTATCTTTATCAACAACACAAAATGGGGAGGAACAAAAAAAAAGTTATGTGCACGGAGCTGCTTCTAAAAATCCCCTACTTTACAGCACAATAGGTGAACGATTAAGATTAGCAGCAAGTCTGTTTCCAACACGCGAATTTGTACTCTTCAAAAGGGATAGGGTGCGCAAAACTTATAAGGACGTTCTCGAGGATGTTTGTTTTTTTCAAATTAAATATTAATTTTTGTGTTTTCCGGAAAGTTATATTCAGAATTATTTTTCAGAATTTAAAATTAATTATTAAATTTGTATTTTCCGGAAGGTCTGTATTTTCCGGAATGTGTTTCCGGAATATTTTTCAGGATTTTTTTCAGAAATGTATTTTCCGGAAATTTATATTTTTCAGAATTATTTTTCAGAATGTATTTTCAAAATTTCTGAATTAATTATTAATATGTATTTGTATTTTCCGGAAGGTTAATAATATTTTTCAGAATATTTTCCGGAAAACAATTTAATTTTATTTAGTTCTTTCTATTAAGAGTGAACGTCTCGCAACAGGACTAATCCATTTAGGAATGGAGAAAGGTGACCGAATAGGAATATGGTCGCCTAATAAATATGAGTGGATTACTACACAGTTTGCTAGCGCTTTAGCTGGCTTTATTTTGGTATTAAAATTTTTTTTGAATTTTTTTAAAATTTATTTTAAGGTAAATATTAACCCAATGTATCATGCTGATGGTGAGCATTTTTTAAAAATTAAAAATTAAATTTTTTTAAAATTTTTCTTTAGATCTTTGCTATGCTGTTGAGCAAGTGGGCATTAAGACGGTAAATTAAAAATTATTTTTAATTTCTTTAATTTTTTCTGGTCATTTTTGCCTTTCAGTTAATATGCCCGCCAGCTTTTAAACGTTCCCAATATTACAACACTCTTCGCGAATTGATCCCAGAACTTGAAGATGCACCTCCAGGAGATGGTAGAATCTCTACTGACACATTCCCAAAATTAAGAAATTTGATTGTATTTAAAATGGGAAATGGAACGGAAGCGGGGATTGATGAAAATGGAAATGAGGGTAAATTTTCGGGGGGTTTCTTGGGTCTTTTAAATTATTAACTTAAAATAGACGGAAGATATAATGGCGCTTGGGACTACAATCAAGTACTCAACATGGGAACTGTTGAAGACCGCAGGCGTTTAGCACAGAATGAGGCAAATGTCCAACCGGATGATCAAGCAAATATACAATATACTAGTGTAATTATTGTATTTTTGATGAAAAAATTTACAAAAAAATTTTAAAGGGAACCACAGGAAAGCCTAAAGGCGCAACGCTTACTCATCACAACATTGTAAACAACGCTTATTTTGTGGGGTTGAGAGCTGGGTATCATGAAAAGGTAGTTAAGTTTTAAACTTGATAAAAATACGAAAGGGAAATACTTAGGAAATAATTCTGGTTAGAAAACACAAGTACTTTCCGGAAAGTTATATGTATTTTTCAAGAAATACAAACACATTCCGGAAACTATCTACTATTTCCGGAAAATAATTCTGATTCTTTAATATTTTAAAAACACATTCCGGAAGATAAACAATTTCCGGAAAATATTTAGTATTTTTTATTAAATGAAAAACACATTCCGGAAAATAAATAATTTCCGGAAAATACAATTAAATGGAAATTCTGATTTAATATTCCGAAAACACATAAGTTAACGGAAAACACAAAAAAATTTCGTATTTTTAGCGAGCAATAATATGCATTCCAAATCCTCTTTACCACTGTTTTGGTTGTGTTATGGGCAGTTTGGCAGGTTAAATAATTTAATAAAATTTAAATTTATTAAATTAATTTGTAGCACTTGTACATTTTAATACTTGTGTATTTCCTGCGCCCTCCTTTGAGCCGCTAGCAGCACTTGAAGCAATTCATGAAGAAAGGTGTTTTAATTAAAATATGAAGAAAAATCATTTTGAAAAATTAAAAAAATTTTTAAAAATTTTTAAAAAATATTTCCGCAGATGTACAGCAGTTTATGGCACTCCCACAATGTTTATTGATATGTTAGGCCACGAAGAGTACCCATCTTTTGATTATTCCTCGATCCATTCTGGAATAGTTGCTGGCGCTCCGTGTCCAGTAACTCTCTGTTCTCGACTTGTTAATGAGTTGGGAATGAAAAATTTGCAGGTTTTAGTGTGTGGGAATTTTTAAATAAATTTTTTAAAGGTGTGTTATGGTACAACAGAAACGTCTCCGGTCTCGTTTATGTCAATTTGTGATGACCCCCCAGAAGAAAGGATCAGAAATGTATTTTAAATTTCCGGAAAATAAATTAAAATCTTTGAAGGTTGGTCACATTATGGATCATTTGGAAGCGGCTATAGTCGATGCTGATGGAAAAATCGTTCCGAGAGGGCAGAGGGGAGATTGTAAAATTCTGAAAAATTTTTAATTTTAAAATTATTTTCTAGTGCTTATTCGAGGATATTCATTAATGTATGGTTATTGGGATAATGAGGAAGCAACACGTGCAGTTATAGGCAAAGATCGTTGGTATAGGAGTGGGTAGGGAATTTTTGAAAATTCTTTTTTAAAAAAATTTTTTCTTAAAAAAATTCGAAAATTATTTTCTAGTGATATTGGTGTTATGAATGAAAATGGAACTGTTTCAATCGTCGGTCGTTATAAGGATATGATAATCCGTGGTGGCGAAAATATTTATCCAACAGAAGTTGAACAATTTATTGATAAACACCCGGCGGTTGCTGATGTTCAAGTTATTGGAGTACCAGAGTAAATAAATTGATTTAAAAAATACAGATTGTTTTCCGGAAAACACAAAAATAAATACAAAAATTCTGATTCTTCCGGAAAACACAAAAATAAATATAAAAATTCTGATTTTTCCGGAAACAATTTAAAAAATACAAATTACTATTTTCCGGAAAATACAAAAATAAATAAATATAAATTCTGGTTTTTCCGGAAAACACAGAAAAATACAGAAATTCTGATTTTTCCGGAAAACACATAAAAATAATTAAATTATTATTTTCCGGAAAACAAGAATAAATAAAATTCTGATCCTTCCGGAAAACTAATAAAAACACAATTTATTGCTTCCGGAAAACACGTAAAGAATAAATTAAAATTCTGATTTTTTCCGGAAAATACTTTTTATTAATAAAAAGCACAATCCTATCGAAAAATACAAAAAATTCTGATTTTCTAAAATTATATATTTTAATTCAGTGAGCGATTCGGGGAGGTTGTATGTGCATGGATTCGGTAAACTTTTATTTGTATTTTAATTTAAATTCTGTATTTTTATTTAGACTGAAGAATGGTGCTACCATTACAGAAAGTGATATTCGTGAATATTGTGCGGGGAAGGTGCTGAAAATTTTTTTTAATTTTTAAATTTTATTTTTATAGATTGCACACTATAAAGTACCAAAATACATTCTTTTCAAGGACATAACCGACTTCCCATTAACTGTAAAATTTTTTTAATTTTTTAAAATTTTTTTAAAATTTTTTAAATTGAGGGAATTAAATAAATTAATTTTTCTTTTATTTTTAAAAATCAAAAAAAAATTTTTTTTAAGGTGACTGGGAAGGTAAAGAAATTTGAAATGAGAGAAATTTCAAAAAGAGAGCTTAAGGTAATTTTAAAAAAAATTTTTAAAAATTATTTTTAAATTTAAGCTGGAGAATGTTAAATCTCATTTTAATGATGCAGGGATGTAAGAGGAGAATTTTAAAAAATACAATTGGTCCGATAAATTGAAAATTGTCTCCCCTCCCGGTAAATAATATAATAATTCTTTTTCATATTTTTGTAAATTAGTGAAATATTCCTTCCAATTAATAATGTTTTTAAAATTTTAAAATTAATTGTAATAATTTTTAACATTTTGTAATTAATAAACTAACAGTTTTTGTTGTCTTTTTAATTAAATTAATTCAATCTCGAGGTCATTTTTTAGCCATAACTTTTTCGAGTCTTAACCGATTTAAATAATTATTATACCAATCGAAAGCCCTGAATGTGAGGATTATTTTATCTAACAGGATCATTTTGATCAGATCATTATACAAAAAGTTAACCAAATAAAGATTAAAAATCACGGTTGCGTCTACTTAAGACGATGTAACTCTTTGTAGGATTATCTGATCAAATCAATCCTGTTAGCTAAAATAATCTACAGATCCAGAGCTTTCGATTGATATAAAAATTATTTAAATCGGTTAAGAATGAAAAAAGTTATGACCAGAAATATGGCCTTGAAAAAATAAAAATGAAGTTTGATTTGTAAATAAACGGAAAGTTTTAATATTTGGCATAATGTTTAAAATATTTAATAAAACTTTCAACTGTAATAAGAAGAGAAGCAGACTATTAGAGATAACGTAAATTGGCTCCCATACAAAATCTCTATTCCTTAAAATCGCTATTCCTTAAAATCTCTACTGGGCTAAAATGCTTAAAATCTCTATTCCTTAAAATAACTATTCCTTAAAATCTCTACTGGGGTAAAAATAATTAAAATCTCTACACCGCGCAAATTGACGGTTGAGTCTCAACAAAAGTACCATCTGAATCTTTCGCTGGAAAAACCAGACTTGTTAATGGATATGGATACAATTGGTTTAAAATGGCTGCCATATCCGCCTGTATCCGCCTTAAATATCGAAAATATAAGACACGACTGCTTCGCTGCGGTCGTGTTCATTTTCCTTGCGTTGATCGTATCGAAGCGGCTGCTATCGTCCCGCTAGACATGCCTGGCTGGGTTCATCCGCACCGGCAAAAACTATACAAGCAAAATAATATCAAAAGATAATCCAGAAATCAGAACAATGTTTCCGCACTTAACGTTGGTACTCAAAAGGCTTCAATGAAAAATAGACATTTTATCCTATATTTGGCAGTGTAGAGATTTTAAGGCATTTTTCCCGTGTAGAGATTATGAGGAATAGAGATTTTAAGGAATAGTTATTTTAATCATTTATAGCCGAGTAGAGATTTTAGTGCATTTTAGCTGTGTAGAGATTATAAGGCATTTTAGCCCAGTAGAGATTTTAAGGAATAGAGATTTTGAGGGGATACGCGTAAATTTGAGAGAGACATTTAAAAGAGAGACTAACAGAGAAATTTTATTATTTTTTTGTTAGACTCAATCAAATAATTGTTCTCGGTTTCTGCTTAATTTTTTCGAATTTCAGGGTTATATTTTGTTTATTTTTACATTTTATTATCTGTATTATATTTTGTGGCTACTTAATGGGTGTAGAAAGGTTTCTTTATTTTTATTTTTTAAATATATATTTTAATAACTTTAGACGTTTCTTTTATGAAATAACTGGTGAAAGAGCTCGTGAACTTTTATTTTTATATGGATCTAATGGAGTAGGTTTTTTAATTTTGGGTTTATTAGGGTTCGAACTTTTCAGGTTGCCTAGCTCGGTATTTGTGGTTTTCCGGTTTTTTCTTCTAGCTATCTGAACCGAGTTTTCCAGGCCAGAACTTTGCAAACTCGAAAACCTCGAGACCTAGATTTTTACAGTATGACTCGGCAGGGGTTCTCTGTTAATGTCCTTGATCGTATTTTCCCTTTCCGGGCTACATGTAAACCCTGGTTTTATCAAGATACCCGGTTACCAGGCTGCTAAAATCCAACCTAATTTCCATCCTTCCGACCGGGTTTGGAGACCGGACTTAACCCGGGTTTGAACTTTAACTTTTTTAAATTTAATTTGCTTATTTAGGAGTTTATTGTTCGTCCAAGTGAGTCAAGCGCTTCTGATTATACCTTGTCTATCCAGTAATTTTTTATAAATAAATTTATCAGATTTTTTGATATTTTTTAGTCGTGGAACCCGAGTAACTCACGTCAAAATTGTGCATAATCCTCTTTCCAAAACTCTTCGTTTACCCTCTGGACATGACTTTCATTCAGTTGAAGCGGTTGTGCAATTTTTGGAGGCTAACCCAAAAGTGTTGACTGAAGCAGATGGTTTGAGTATTGAATTGACTAAACCTGCTCAACTACCTATTGCGGAGACTGTTGTGAATGTTGGAAGTGATCGTTGGTTTTATTTATTTTTTCTTATTTTTCCAACATAGAGGGGGAGTTCCCTGTAGGAACACATGATACAACCCATCATAGAGAAAGAATCCATCATAGGGGAACTTTCCTTCACCCGTCATTGAAACAACCTCTTCCTTTTTATTGGAACAGGAAGGCTATACGTACTCGTATCAGCCTTCATCGTCATTTGATCATCCCCTGTAGATGCACAAGCTTCCTCGTCACAATCTTCGATGCACAGGCTCATCGCTTAAAAGACAGCGATATATCGGGCCCCGATATAGGCGGTTGACCTCTTTATTTTGGTGGGTGGCCTCTATCGTGGTTGACCTCTCTATCGTGGACCTCTATTTGGCTTCAAATCTTGAAAATTCTGTTTTAAGGCTTTTTTCATATTGCTACAAGTGGACATGAGGCCGAAGCATTATTAAAAGACGAACCTTGTGGAACTTATCTTGTTAGAGGTTTGCTAATTTTTTAATTTTATTTATTTTATAAATTTTAAGAAAGTTGCAGTAATGAAGGTGAATTTGCTTTATCCGTTCGTAGCAATACTGACAAAGTTGTCCATGTCCGGATATCTCATAAGAACGGAAGATTTTGTATTGTACCCAAAGACAATTTCCGAACATTGGCGGGACTTGTAGAAAATTATATTCGGTTGCCGATGGTTCAGGTTTTTTCTTTTAATTTATTTTTTCCAAAATTTTTTTGTTCAGAATGGTGGAAGTGCTGTAAAACTCAAAACTCCACTCCCCTCAACCAGATTTACCGCTGCCACAATTGATGATCGTATAGACTGTTTATTGAAACCATCAAAGAAGCATGGAGCTAAGGATGAATTTGCTGAAGAATTTGAGGTTTTGTTCTTTTAAATTCTAACAAGGATGTGCTGGTTGATTCATAGGGATAGCCGGGTTGGGAAGAAGGTTTGGTGGGCTTCAGATCGGGTTTTCAAAATTCTCTTTGGATTGGGGTTCGGGTGAAAAGAGCCTGGATTACTCATAGTCAGATTTCTCTCTTTTTAAGTTTCCTACCTTCGTCCTTCACTTCTACAAAATATTCGTTCAGAAAATTGTTTCAAAAATTTTATAATTTTTTAAGAACCTCCACCGTCATGAGGAGGATTCTCAACTCTTTATTAGCTGCAAAGAAGGTAGAAAGGCAGAAAATGTACGCAAAAATCGTTATCGAAATGTTGTTCCGTTTGATCACACACGTATAAGACTACAACGTTCACCTTCTTCAAATAATGGATGTGCTGGTGGAGGAGGAGGGAAACTTTTAGTAAATAATGATTATATTAATGCAAATTATGTTGAGGTTTTTTTCGGGATTTCTTAATTAAAAAATAATTTTTTTAAGATTCCTTTGGACACAAAACGCTATCCTGAGTTTGCTGACTTTAAACGACGTTATATTTCAACTCAGGTTGGGATTTTTTTTAAGTTGTTTTTAATTTATTTTCAGGGCTGTTTGGAAGAAACTGTCTCTGATTTTTGGTTTTTTTTCCCTGGTGAAATTTAAAAAAATTATTTTTAAGGCAAATGGTTTGGCAAGAAAACTCGTTACTTATTGTTATGGTTACAAAAGAAGTGGAAAGAGGACGAGTTTGTTTTAATTTTTTAAACCATGCAAGGGTCGTGTTTTCTGAGACCCAAACTTTGAAGAAAATTTTAAAAATCTTATCAGGCATCGAACGATTTTTTTAATAAAGTTATTTTTCAAGGTAAAATGTTATCGTTATTGGCCTGATTTGGATGAAGAATTTAATTATGGGAATTTAATTGTTAAAACTATTGAGGTATATTTTTTTGGATTTTCTTTTATTTTTAAGTTCGAAATAGGTTTTTTTACTTTTTTGAGACACAACCTGGCATTAACCGGTACTCCTGGTTTTTTGTTATCTCCGGCTTTTGGCCCCGGTTTTTGGTTTTGGTTATTTCTCCATAAATACCGATTTTCTGTTTTGTGTCTGTTAACAGTTTGTGTCCAATCTAGAGATCGAGCTGGATCTGGACCAAGGCCTGAGTTTTTCCTGTACCCAGAGTCCAGGCCCAGTCATTTTTTGGCCTTCCTGGGTCCAAGGATTCGGCCCAGATCAATAAATCTAGCTCGGAACCCAGGAACAGGCCCAGGCTTTTCAAATATCTCGATCTCTAGTCCAATCCTACTTTAAATGAAACTAATTTAAGGAAACTAAAAGTGATGATTATATGCGTCGAGTATTTGTTTTGAAAAGAAAAAAGGACGAGAATAAGGCAAATGAAGCAAAAACAGCTGCCTCTTCAGCAACCGCGTCCGGTAAAGAAGACCAAGAAGAAATTCATCAAAAAGACGAAGAAGAACAAAAATTAATTTATCATTTCCAAATTCTAAGTTGGGAAGATAATGATGCTTGTCCTGTTGAATCTGTCCTAAATTTTTTGGATGCGGTCAATGAATGTGAAAAAAATGAAATTGGAGAGGTTAAGAATAAAATGAATAAAAAGTCAAAAATTGGTCCGACAATTGTGCATTGCAGGTTTTTTTGAAGAATTTTGGATCTGGTCTAGTTTAGAGTCGAATGAGTAGCTGTGGTTCTATTGAGTCTTTTCTGTGCTCGTTGAACCTTAATGTGTCCAAAAAAGTTTACAAGTCCATTTAAAATTATGTCTAATGAATTTTATTGGGTCCTATGAATAGTCTATGACTTCAGACAAAATTTTTGGTTTTAATGAACTTTAAATGTCCTATAAAATTATCATGAGTTTTCTGTGTCAAATAAAAGTTTTTTTATTCCAATGACTCGTAAACTGGATCAGAGCCGAATTTAAAATAAAAAAATTTTTTTGAAGTGCTGGAATTGGTAGAACAGGAACTTTTTTGGCTTTGGATATTATAATTAATAGAATTAAACAAAAAGGTTTTTTATTTTTAAAAATAGAAAAAAAATTTTTTATTTAAAGGCCCAAAATGTGTTTGTGATGTTCAACGTACAGTTAAAATGCTTCGTGAACAGCGGGCAACAATGGTACAAACAGAAGCTCAATATCGTTTTATTTTTCATGTAATCTCTGCTTTTATGCGTGGATATAGAAGCCAATTTCAATTGACGGTTTGTTTTTAATTTTTAAAAATTTTGATTTTCTTTAAATTCAGTACAAAAAGACAAATAGCGTTGAAGGACCTCATCGACCCTAAGTTGACTTTAAAAAAATTTATTCCCAAACTGAAAAACATTCCAAAATTAATTTTTCTTCAAAATATTATCTTGTGTTATTCTCCGAGTGAATTTTCAAATATATTCTATAATATATATTATTGTATCTATTATGACAAGTAAGAAAGAATTTCTTTATATTATACAGATAATTTCAAAGTGATACATTTTTAAATGATTATAAAATTAGGGTTGTCGGTTCATGGAAAATCTTTTGGGAATTCGGAACAGAAGAATTGATCCTCGGGTCCTGTTTCTAAAAGCCAGACTCAGGTCTGCTCTCCTCGATGCCCATTCTCTAAAATTTCCGAGCCCGAACAGAACCACGTTCGAAATAAAGAACTGTACTATACCTAAAGAAACATTTTCGGTTCCCTTGGTTAGATTCTATTTCGAAACGGCAACCTTTATAAGAATATTATTTTCAATTTATTATCTACTTAAAATGAGATAGATATTCTATACATATATTCAATTAAATTTTTTAAGCTTTTTTTTAATTTTTTTTTTCAAATGTTGAATTTTAACATTACATATCTTACTTTTCTTTATTTTTTAAAATTAATTTTCAAATATTTTTTAGTAATTTCAGCTTTATTTTAAAAATATTTTTGATTGTGAGAATAAATTTGAAAAATGAGCTCATCAAATTCTAGTAGATCTAAAATTGATTCAGGTTTTTTTAAATTTTTGATGAAAAAATAATTGTTTTTTCTTTTGAAGCAACATGGGAAAAGTTTTTCGAGGCTTGCTGTGATATACCTTCAGAAACGAGGAAGAAATATGCTTCAGCATTTGTGAAGCAAAGGATACAGCCGCATTTGCTGCGTGATTTGGGTTAATTTTTTCTAAATTTTTTTAATTTTTTAAATAATCTTTAAGGAAAGGATGACCTTAAAGAACTGGGTATTAGTGCGTTGGGAGATCAGGTTAATTTTTTTTTTAATTTTTATGGGGTATGGGAAAACTGGCAGGGAATTGGATTAACGTGGAAAGTATCCAGGCCTAACCGAGGCCGTTTGCTGTGTAGTAGCAGAGATATGGGCGGACTGAGAGGAAAACATTTCGGATTGAATTTTCCAGAATTTCGGATTCGCTTTCGGTTCAAAAAATCCAGATTCTGAGTAACTCGTCCTAACCTTGGTGTGCAGCTAACGGCAAATTGATCGCAAACTATAATTTTATCACAGGAATAATTTCTAAAAATTCTAATTTAAAAATTTTTTTTATTTCAGCTAGCCATTATCAGTTATATAAATAATTGTGATGGAACGCCACCTGAATTCCTTCCGCCACCAAAAAAGACGGTTGCACCTCCTCCTGCTCCTCCAGCACGTACCGTCCACCGAAATGATGCTTATGTTGATGGTTTTTTTGTTAAAATTTTTTAATTAAATTTTTCCAAGATGATATTCTAATGCTGGAAGAGGAGGATGTTTACAGCCCCACAAAACCAATTTTGTCTTCAGCTCCAGATCGTCATGATATTTACCATATTAAAATGCCTACTGGAGAGAGTAACTCAAAGAGAGCTAAAAATATTTTGGAAGTGCATAATAATTTGAGAGAACAAGGTTTTTTAAAATTTTTGGGATTTTTTAAAATTTTTCTAGGTGTTATAAAAAGAGGTGTGACAGGCGTTCGCCGTTCTGGAATGGAATTACATTCGGTCTCGTCTCATTCTAAACCAATACAAAAGCAATCACCACTTAAACCGAAGCCTACAGCTGCTCTTGTTGTTCAGGTTTATTGGTTTTTTTTTTAATTTTTTAGAATGTTTTTGGAGGGTTTTGGGAGGTTTAGAATGCTTTTTTGAGTGATTATTTTCTGGATTTGGTTGGCATTTTTTGGTTTTATTTTCGGATTACTTTTGGGTCTTTTGTTGATTTTTTGTTTTTTGGTAGCATTTTTAGGTTTTGGTTGGGTTTTCTTTCGAGATTATCAAAATTAATTTTTAAAAAATTTTTTAGGACACGGATATTACTTCTTCAACAGCAGCAGGTTGGCTGCCAACACGTTCCTTACGGAGTGATGCAATTTCTACAAAAACAATGGTCGTAAAAGATGCTTCAAGTACATTACTTGGACGTGGAATGAGTGGAATGTATTTATTTAAGAATTTTAAATTGAAAAAATGTTTAATTTTAAGGGTCGCAAATCGGACAACCCCTTCAAAATTAACTGGGAATAAAATCCCTGTCCGAGTGAATTTGGGAGACGAAATAGCTGCGGCTTTGAGGGCGCCATTGCGCAGTCCAATTAAAAGAGCAACTGTCCGTTATGAGGAGGATGATGGAATGTTTGATATTGGAGGTTTATTTTTATTATTTAAAGGTAATAAGGGGGATAACCTGAAGGGTCATTCTTAATTAGGACGGGGGCAGGGTCCTTCCTGAATTATAACAAGAAAAGGTAGATGGACATCAAAACACTCCTAGATTTACCAAAAATTAACTTACGTATTTTTGTGTGTGTTAACCTTTTTAGTACGCTTTTTTCGCTTAAAATGGATGGATGTTCCGTTTTCGGTAAAATTAATTTTGAAGACTGGAAGGGTTTTGTGGCTGCATTTATGTATAATTTTCTGAAAGGATTAAAATGGGTGTCTTGATTTATTTTTAAGCATAGGAGGTCAAAAATAAGGCTTTCTTTCTTATATGCTCCCAAACGTCCGCAAGTTTCTTTAAAAAAATTTTTCAGCACATGAAGATTATTTGGAGGAAGAAGGTCTTTTTGATGTTGTTCCTGCTGCTAGAAAGATTCCTAAACTTGTTGAGCAACAACGGACTCCAATCTCTGAACGTATTCAACTTGTTCGGAAACGTGAAGGACGTCCAATAATAACTTTGGATGGACGTAAACTAACATTGTCTGGAGGTGGAGGAAGAAAACAACTAAATATTGGAGGTAAAGGAGTGATGAAAAAAGGAAAAGGAGGAGGAAGAGGACTTTCAATTTTGGAACGAATTTCGTTTTAGTTGCTGTGAGGTTTTTTTTGACTATTTGAGGTTCAAGATTTTTTATTTTACAATGTTCAGTTATTAATTAAGGTTTAAAAAATCGAAGCTTGTTTCTTTAACGTTCCCAATATATATTTTTTCTTTTAGACGGGATACCAAACTCACAAAAATCGTCGAAATGCCAAATTCACAAAGCCGACGAGATGCAAACTTTTGTAAAACCGATTTTTCTCAGTTTGGCGTTTCGGCATCTTCTCTGGTTTTTTCAAAAAATTTTTTTGAAACTTTTGGAAAAATTTTGATTTATCGTGAAATACAGTTTGGTATTTCTTCGTTTTCAGGTATAATGGCATCCTACCTTTCTTTTACATATTTTGTATTAATATTCATTCCGTATTTTAAAAAAAATTTTCACAAATAAATTGGATAAAAAATTGGATATGTTCTTTTTAATTTTAAAAATAAATTTTAAATATTTTTTGATTAAAAAAGACAATATATTTGAGCATTATAAATATTAAAATAATTTTTTTAGAAAATTTTAAACCAAATTGAACAGCTCCATTTCTGGATGACGTTGTGGTTCTTAAACGGCGCTTCCAAGTATTTTCTTTATTTTCTGAGGATTTTTTAAGATTGCGAATATATTCAATTTTATAGGTGTTGTCGTAAAGATTGGGTAGCAAAGATGATTGGAATGATTTTGCTCCAGTTGATGAACGCTCAAAAATAGCGTAGTTTCCGTCGCTTTTTGAAAAGCTAGTAAAGAAGAGGTTTAATTTTATAAATTTGAAAAATTTCTGAAATTTTCTAATTTATTTCTTAGTGCCTACCCAAATGTCCTCTCTCCGTTCGATGCTTCTTCCTCGGATTGCTTCAAATACCAAGATGCTTCATTCAAGTCGTTCTGTTGTGTTCGTCTCCCCCTTCTTCGAAATTCGCTTGATTTGGAGTGTGTTGTCATGATGTTGTCTGCTGCCTTTAAAAAAGGTTTGGAATTTTTTTATTGATGAAGATTAGGGCATAAAAAATTTTTCCAAAAAAATTTTCTAAAAATTTTCCATAAAATTTTTCCAAAAAATTTTTGGAAAATTTTCAAAAAATTTCTAAAAATTTCCAAAAAATTTCCAAAGAATTTTCCAAAATTTCCAAAAATTTTTCAAAAATTTTCAAATAAATTTCCTTACAATTCTCTTTCTACTTTCCCCCTCCAATTTCAACTTCCCATTATTCCTCTCATCATTCACAAATATCTGACACTTCCAAATCCCCTCATCTTCCTCAAAATCAATTTTATTTATCCTCAAAACCATCCATTGATGAAAATTTATTTTCGAATTTTTTGAATTATTTTTTCTTTCCAACTCAATTTCCACTTTAAATTTTTCATTTTTTGCTGTTAAAATCATTGCCACATTTTTGTCAATTGAGTGCCATGCTTTTGCGTGTATTGACCATTTTGGGTTGTCCTTTTCATTTAAAATAGGTTCGGGCGTTCCGTCTTGGGTAAACTTGATTTTGAATATTACCCGGGTGTTGTGGCTCCATTCAACTTTGGAAATGTTCTGAAAGGATAAAAATTTGTGCCTTGGTTTATTTTCTAAGGCTGGGAGGCCAAAAATAAGAAAATAGGGGGTTCAGCTATTATATGTTCCCAACGTCCGCAAGTTTTAGTCATGACAGATTTTGTTCTAAATAAAGGTTCTGCGTTTTTGTGAAGGCTTTGATGGCCGAATTTCATTAGAGATTTGATAAACAGGATTTTAACTCATTTTTTTAAACTTGAGTTTTGCGGACAAAACTTGCGGACTTTTGGGAAGGACCCAATTGTTCTCAATTTTAGCATTTATTTCCTTACTTTCGACGTCTTTGGGCATTTGAGCATAAACTTTTTGGGTGTTTCATTGAAGCCTTTAAAAATTTGGGGATTTTTTTTGAAAATTTTTTCGGTTTTTTAAACCTTTTATTTTCTCATTATCTGTAATTTCATTTTCATCTCTTAGAATGACAAAACTTTTTGAAGAAAGACAGCCAAATTTAATTAAAATAAAATTAAAAAGTAAAAAAATAATTAAAAGGGAATGAAAGAAGGGAAACATTTTTGGGAGAAATTTTGGGAAATTTTTTGGGAATTTTTTTAAACTTTTTTTTTAAATTATTGGGGAGAATTTTCGGGGAAATTTATGAAGGGTTTTTTCGATAATTTTAGGGGAAGAAATTTTTGGGGGAAAAATATTTTTGTTAAAAAATGAAGAGAAAAAAATAACGTTTTTTAACTTTAAAAAAGGCTTTTCATTTTTTCCCATAAAGCTTATAAAGCTATTACTCATCTAAATTGCGCGTTTTTAAACACAATTACCTCTATCTTCTATTTATCCTCCTCTTCATTGAAGGAGGAAAGATAATTGAATTTTAAGGAAGAAAGGGAGAGGGGAAAAAGAATGGCAATCTATTAGAAAAAATTTTTTTCTTTTTTAAAGAGAAAAATGAAATTTTGAGAGTTGGAACATTTTTTGAATTTTAAAAAAATTTTAAATTTTTTGTAGGGTTTTAGGTATCCTCTAGTTTGTTTAAAATATTGGAAAGAGTATAAGATCTAAAAAGGGTTCCTAAATTAATCGTCTCGGTGGTCTAGTCGGGAGAGCGTCCGTCTTTGACGGCCGATGTTTACCAAGGGGTCGTGGGTTCGATTCCTTTTAGTGCCCAAACTTTTTCTAAACTCTTATTTTATAATTTTTATTTTTAATAAATTAAAAAATAACAAAATAAAAAACGAAAAAAATTTTTTTAATTGATAAAAGTTGCCAATAAATTATCCATTTTTCTCATAAGCGTCGATCCCGGAATTCTCGAATAATTTAAAAAACGAAAACCTCCAAGTTCTTTTGTTGGATTTGGTTTAATTTGAAGATCATCTTTAATATTATTTTCTCTAATAAAAATTCCAGGGCAATTTCCATTTGAGTAAAATTGAATAAATAGACTTCTAAAAATTTAAGAAATTTCAAAAAATTTTTGAAGCTTAAAAAATTAAAAAAAAAATTCAGACTTTGTCGCCGTTTGATTACAAGCATAAAATGTTGGTGCTGGATTGCCTTCCATGTCAAAAGCGTTAATATTTGCATGAAGTATTTGCCAGCTATATGCTCGAGAAAGAGTGTTGAGAGAACTGACCCAAAAATGGGCGGCCTGTTTTTTTGAGGGGTAAGAAAATTTTTTAAAATTAAAAAAAATTTTGTAGGCTTAACAATTTTTTTGAGTTTTTAAAATTTTCAAAAATGTTTACGCCTTCAAAAAATCGTTTTTTTAAAGTTATACCAAGAGAAGCAATGATTCCCCCAAAATTGAGACGTCACGACGACAATTAATTTGCTGAACTTCTTTACAAGTCAAAGTTATTGATGTGTTGGTTATGTGAATTTGGCTCGAAAATCTGTTGGGGTAAAAAAAACTTTTTTTTAAATTTTTTAAAAATTTTCGTAGGCTTAAAAATTAAAAAAAATTTTCAAAAGATTTTTAAAATTTCAAAAAAAAATTTCAAGCCTAAGAAAAATTAAAAAAAATTTTTTTAATAAATAATTACTTTGCAAGATTTTCAAATCCTCTATTTACAAAATTGAGAGAAATTAGAGTAAAATTGGGTGTAACACGTACCCATTTCCATTGAGGCTTAAATTTAAAAAAATTAAACTAAAAAATTAAAAAGAAAACCTGTGGATCACAAAAATGAATTGAATAATCTTGTAAAAAATCAATTGTTCTAACTACGAGTTGATAATGGGAACAACGATCCACAAATTTTTTGATTAAAGAATTGGACGTTTTCATACGTGAAAGAACCTTGAAATAATAAAATTAGTGAGGTAGAACTGTTTAAAAACTCAAAAAAATTTTCCAAGAGACCCAAAACGTTGTTCGAAAACCAGGACCGGAAAAATTAACTTGAGCAAGGATTAGTGCTGGGTATTAGGTTGGACTTTATTAAGCCATTGGGGCTTTATTAACTAACTTTTTGAAATTTTCAAGAGGTCCAATCCAAGACACTGAACTAAGGAAGTCTTTTCTCCAAAACCAGGGTTTCAGGGAAATAGGAAACCAAGACCCTTAAGCTATAAGTTCTCTCCCTTTCTCCTAAGAAAGTTCCCCTCCCATAAAACAACAAACAAACCTCTTCCAAACAAATAGCTTGAGGTCCACGCATATCCAAACTTTCAGGTAATGCTGTTTGTGGTAGCGTAACAAATTGTTGAGCTCTTTTAGGTTTGCTTGTATGTTCGGCTAGAAAAAGTTCTCGAAGAGTTTGGGAAAGAAAAGGAATTCCTGCTTCTGACGGAGACAATTCTTCCTTTAAAAATTTTTTTTGGGTCGGAAAAATATTTAAAAAAACCCTTTCCAAAAAAGGAAATGAATGCAGAGTCACACGTATCAACAATCCATCGAACAAGGAAATTACAATTGAATTTTCTGTTGCAATAGAAACTAGAGCATCGTTTTGTTGAGCGGAAACTGATTCGTTTATTAACTTGAATTGAAAAAAAAATTTTTAGAAAAATTTTTGCCCTGTGCCCTGGGAAAATTTTTTAAAAATTTTCTGTCCTATGCCCAATGAAAAAAATCTCAAAAAAATCTTTTCGCCTCGTGCCCATGGAAAAAAAATTTTTAATTAAAGAAAGAAAACCTGTGAAAGTATATCTTTACAAATTAAGGTATCCTGTGCCCAAGGAAGTGCTTGCTTCCAATGAATATGTTTTATTTGGTCCTCATTTATTGATTGTTGTGTAGGTCTGTTTTTGTATAATAAAAGTGCACTTTTTTCGTCATCTAAAAAATTTTTAATAATTTAAAAATGGTAAAAAATCGTAGAAAATAATTAGAAAGAATATTTAGAAAGATAAAAAAATATTGGACTCCAGCGGGTTCGAACCCCCACCCTCTATCCAATGAAAAATTAGCATGGCCACTTAACCAGAATTAGAAAATTTTTTATAATGATAGAAAGGGTGAGAAAAGTGTAGAAAACTAGAAAAAAATTTTTTTAACGTTAGAAAGGGTGAGAAAAGTGTAAAGAAACATTTTAGAAACTAATATAAAAAATCCTCATTTTTAGTATCTTTCTTAAAAAATTTTAATTTAAAACGCAAACCCGGTTCAATTAGCACAACAAGTTTCGATCTAAAACACAAATTGTGTGCAATATTAACTCCAACATAAGAAGGATTGTTAAAACGCACAATTCCAAGCTGCCGAGAAATTTGTGTTTTTTGAAAAACATCAAAAATTTCTTGTGGAGCAAATTTTGGGACATCTATTTGGAGGTAAATAAATAAATTTTTTAATTAAAAAATACAAGTTTTATAGCCAAGATCCCCATAAATGGTTGAGCCACTTTTTCGAACACGCCAATTTTCGCGTAATTCGCGGAGCTCCTGAAAGGGAAAATTTTTAAATTTTATTTTGGTTCTTTTTGGATATTGCGCCCACCCCTTAGCTTGAGTCTCGAGGTTTCCTTAAAATGAACATAATTGTCAGACTTCTTTTTTCATCGGTTCCCTTGTGATATGTTCAAATGAGAAAAGCATTAATGAAAAAAAGAAGGTCTGACCATTACGTACATTTTAAAGAAAATTCTGAGACTCAAACTAGAGGGTGGGCGGGATATCCAAAAATTACAGTTTTTTATTTTTTAAATTAAAAAACCTTTGTAAAATTCCCCTCTCCAGTATCTACAGGTGTCACAACTACTTGTTGTCGATATTTAACCATTTTTTCGATGAGACGTGTAGCATCGATTAATGCCTAGAAAATTTTTTGAAAAATTTTTTTAAAGAAAAATACCCTTTTCCGAGTACATAATTGATAAGTCTTTGAATATGCAATTTGTTCGTGTTCTGGCATGTCGTCTTGAATTAATGCGTTCACTGATGGTGACAAATAATAAGTTCGAGAAGTGATTTTGAGAGCGTCTAAGAGAATATGGACTTCTTGTAAAGCGTTGCTAAAATTTGAAAAAAAATTTTTGAGAAGTTAGGAATGGTGGGAAAAATGAATAAAAATATTTAGAAGAAAAAAGGGGAAGGAAAAAATGTTTGGACAGCAACGGGTTCGAACCCGTACCCCTCTCTACCCTGTGAAAAATTAGCGTTTCCACTTAACCAAAATCTGAAAAAAAATTTTGACAAGTTAGAAAGGGTGGGGAAAGCGTATTAAAATATTTAGAAGACACTAACAAAAATTCAAAAATCTTTGGACTGTAACGGGTTCGAACCCGCACCCCTTCTACCCAATGAAAAATTAGCATGTCCACTTAACCAAAAAATAAAAAATATAAAAAAACAACAAACTGTAAATGTTTCCCAACAGCAGCCCACGGACCAGCTACAGGCTCATGAATATTTAAAGCACTTGGAGTTTTAACAGTCTCACTCTTCTTTTGGTTATCGTCTTTTCCTTCACCCTCAGAATCGTCAGAATCTTCATCTATTGGAGCTCTATCCAAACTAGAATCATTTCCTACAATTTTACGCCATTTTATTCGACGAGCATTTTTTCTGAGAACGTCTTTGAAATCGCTAGGTCTTTAAAAAATTAAAAAAATAAATTTAAAATTTTTTTTAATAATCCAACAAACTTTATATATTTTTCAAAGCCGTCGTAAGTAATTTCTTGAATTTTCCATTCACTTAAAGGCTCGACACATATTTGTACTCCATTGTTACTATTGCTCGTGCTTTGTCCATACATTTATTTAATTAGTTAAAATCTGTAAAAAAAATTTTTTTGTGTAAATTTAAGCTGAAGCAGTTCAGTCGATTGCCGGCCTTATAACTCTTAAAGATTTTGATAATTTTTACTATTTTTGGCATCATTGGATAGAGAATTTAATATACTACAAAATATCAAAAAATCAAAATTTTCGAGTGATCGGCATAAAAGTTATGGTCAAAAAGCTGAAACTCGTTCGAACAATATTTGAGCATTCGCGAACTCTTTTGGCATTGTTTTTGGCAAAATGTGCTACTAGAAAATTAAATGACAAAAGATTCCAACACGAGTGTAGTTTGCTTCTCTGCTGTCTCTTCTTTTCTAGTGTACACTCGCATCTATTTTTCTTTAATTCTTCATTTGTTTCTCTATTATTTTTAAAAAATATTTAAGCGTGTCCGGACAAAATATCGAATCGTTAAAATATGGAATAGGCTAAAAAAGGGTTAAAATCTCGAATCGGGTAAAAATGGGTTAAAATCGCGAATAGGCTAAAAAGGGGTTAAAATGTGGAATCGTTAAAATATGGAATGGTAAAAATATCGAATCGGCTAAAAAAGGGTTAAAATATGGAATCGTTAAAATATCGAATTGATAAAATGTCGACACGGCCAAAATAGGTCAAAATGTCGAATTTTTTTAAAGATGCGCCAAAACCTTGAATCCGGGCGTTACCGTAATACCGACGGTATTTTTCGGTATTCCGTGTCGGTTGTACGGTACGGAATGCCGACCGATAAAATTTAAAAGCTGACCGTTATTTTTCGGTATTCCATACCGTATACGGTAAGGTCAAACTTTAGGTCTTAACTAAAAACTAATGCATACCACTCTAATTTTTCCATATCAGGATCGCGTTATGTTTTCCGGATCCGTACGATCATGCCGGACCGGATCCGGTCGATTATGCTTGATTTATCCGGTCCGGTTTTACTCGGTAAAGTACAGTGAACTCAGACAGAAAAGATTACGACGGACTACGACTTACCAAACTTATCAATCAACTTATCATCAATAAACTGATGTTGATAAAATTATCAACAATCAACGTATGGCACAAATCTGACCCGTTTTTAAAAGAATTCGACATTTTGACCCATTTTGGCCGTGTCGACATTTTTACCATTCCATATTTTTACGATTCCATATTTTAACCCTTTTTTACCCGATTCGATATTTTAACGATTCCATATTTTAACGATTCGGTATTTTAACCCCTTTTTAGCCTATTCGCGATTTTAACCATTCCATATTTTAACGATTCCATATTTTGTACCGGAGCCTATTTAAGCTATGGCTTGAAAAGGGTAAACAATTTTTTCATTTTTTTCTGTTTTGTATTTATTTTTTAGTGGTTATGTTCTTTAGAGGAACAACTGTGCGCGTTTTTAAATGTACTTTTAGTCGTTGAGTGAGTCTATTGGATCAATAAAAGAGAATTTTTAGTTTTAAAAATTCCATCTTTGACTAGCACACTTTAATTATGACACGTCACATTTTGATTTTACTTTAAAAAAACGATTACAATGATTTGTGTGACACGTCAAGTGTTGTACTATACGAGGAAAGTATCCAAAAAGACCAAAAAAGGACTTTGAAAATATGCGACCGCCACGTATTTTTACTTAAATTTTCCACATTTTTTTCCTTCATACTTTCACCTTTACATTTAAATGCAACAGAGAGATAACAGCAAAAATGGTTGTAATGTGAGACTGATTAATTTACTTGGCTATAAGAGACCTTTCTCCCTAAAATAAACTCATCTGACTTCCCACATTTTTTTCTTCTTCCCTTGACTTCCCTTTGACTTCCCTTTGATTTTTTCTTCCCTTTTGACTTCCCCTTGATTTCCCCCTTCCCTTTGACTTCCTCCCTTTTTTTATTAATTTTGTACTTTGTTCGCGATTTTTGTTTCCATGCTTTTTATCATTTAATCTTTTTATCATTGATCATTTTTCTAATAATTTCCCCATTTTTTCAGTCAGAATTAATGGCAAATACCAGTGCTAACGTCGACGGCTCACCACACCAACGAACAAATGGAATCAATTCCAAATTTCCATCACCCCCAAAAAAGCCGTCAAGTAAACGGCCACCAGGTTCCCGTTCAAAATGGTCTCAGTGTTCTACACCAGAAAAGTTTTGTTGGTTAGCGGCAATTCCATTTCGAACGTTGCTCTGTTTGGTGAATATTTTCTGTTTTGTGTTTGCCTACTTTGGTTTCATGCTGCCTGTGTTGTGGGCAAGGAAGTTGTGGCCGAGATTTTATTGGGGATATGAAGGGAAGCTTTATATGTGGCTGCAGGCTTTTGTTGCGTATTGGGGATATACTGCAGGTTTTTTTTTAATTTTTCTTTGTTACCCAAACCATTTTTTGCGGACATATGACCCATAACATGGAACTCATTCTAGTCACTATATGCGGGCTCATAATGGTCAGATATTTATAGGAGAATCATTACAACTCCAAATATCGCCCAACAACCACTTCCTTGAAACTATGGATGTTCAAGTCATTGTGAGACCATTACGAGTTCGCATAATTTGTCCGCAAAAATTTCTTTGGCGTATAAGGTTGGCTGATAGTTGGAAATCTTCGGATATCCGGATCCGTATCCAATGTCCGAACCGAAAATTTCCGCATATCCGGCCTTTTTTTCGGATCCGGATCCGCCAACCTTATTGGGGTGACCCAACATTTACATTTTTTAATCGAAAAAAATTTATTTTGTAGACTATGATGTTTATGAGTATGGCGACGATATTCGCAAATATGCTGCGAAGGGAAGGGTTTTGGTTATAGTCAACCATCAAAGCTCTGCTGATGTCAATATTTTGTTTACGGTTCTGCAAACTAAAGGAGTTGCTACTAGAAAGGTTTTTAATTTATTTTTGGGGGGTTTAGGATGTAATTTTAAAAGTTCTAACAGATTCCTTGGTGTATTGGATAGCGATTTGGGGTACCTAACTTAGGGGTCATGGGTTCGAATTCCACTGTTGGAAATAATTTTTTCTAAGGCTCAAAATTTATTTTTTCTATAAATTTGAACCTTTTAAGGATTTAAAATTAATTTTCTAAATTTTTAAGACAATTTGGCTGATGGATGTTATGTTTCGTTGGACGCCTTTTGGCATTATTGGTCAGATGCATGGTGATTATTTTATTCGTCAAGGCAAAGCTTCGAGGGAAAAGGAATTAATTAATCTGAAGAAACACTTGAGAAAGGTTTTTTAACTTAAAAAAATTTTTAAATAATTTTTTAGGTCTTTTGGGATAGAGACAGGCGTTGGGTTATTCTTTTCCCTGAAGGAGGATTTTACTATAAGAGGAAGGAGGACAGCCAGAAGTAAGTTTATATTGTTTTAATTTTTGGGGGTATTTCGTTACTCTCATAGTTTTTGGACACCGAGAAAGCTCGAAATTTTTTTTCCTCTCTAGACAAATCATAAATCATTCGGAAAAGTCCCCTTAACGTTTTTGACCATTATGAGACCATAACTTGTCTTACTATTAGAACCGAATTTGATTTTGCTGTCCTTCGACTCGGATCAGCTCAAATAGCTCTTTCAAATGATAGGATAATTTCTTCTTAAACGAAAAAAAATTTCGATTCTGGTTCACGTTGACTCTAGGAGATTGCCTGTATTTTTTAAGAGAACACCAAGAATTTTCATTTTAAAGGTACGGACGTAAACACGGTTTCCCTCATTTGGAATGGTGCACTCTTCCACGCATCGGAGCTATCAAAGCCATTTTAGAGGAAGTTGGTCCTCGTGGAGATGATAGTGATAGCGGTGTGGATAATGGACGTACGAGAAAGGTTCGCTCTGGAATTCAGCTACTTAAAGATGCTGTTGGGGAAATTCGTGAGAAGAAGCATATTAAAGGTTTTTTGAATTTTTTGGAAATTTAAATTTGTCTTTTTAAGAAACTCGTCCTCCTATCACTCATATTCTCGATGTTACCATTGCTTATCCAAACGGACATCCTTTGAGTATTCTTACTTTGTGCTTTGGAACGAGGGAACAATGTTGGTATTTTTAAATTTTTTGGGGGCTACTTTGAAGTCGTCTTCCTTTTTTATTTCTTTTTCCTGAACCATTTTTCGAACCTTTTTTAAACCTTTTTTATTTCCTGGACCTTTTTCAGTTTTTTTTCCTTTTTTTCTTTCCAGTATTCCTCGTAGTTAGGGTTGTCGTTTCCTGGAAATTTTTCGGATATCCGAACCAGAACCTAAAAAACCTCGGTTCTTCGGGTCGGTTGGGTCCAGAACCGACACTACTCATAATTTAAGACAAGTATCAAAAGGGTAGAAGATGTCAGGAAATATTAAGGAACAAATTTCGAGTTTCCAAAGTATTACCGTGCTTTTTGTGAGTCACGTTTTACAAAAAAATATTTTTTTTTCAGGCGATATTGCCGTCCATTACAAGATGCATTCCGTTGATGAGGTTTTATTAAATAAATTTTTACAGGCTCAGAAAATTTTCATTAATTTTTTAGGTCCCATTCAATGATGATACTAAACTTCGTGATTGGCTTTATGCTCAATATGCTAAAAAAGACAAGCTTTTGGGTTTCTTTTTGACTTGTAAATTTTTTAAATTAATTTTATTTTAAGCCAATTATTATCAAAATGGAGAATTTGAACCAGACGAGCCTGGAGAGCGTATTGTCTTTTCGTGGACGCGTATTGTTGGACATTGGGCTTTTTGGTTGACAAGTTTTTTGATCCAATGCAAAATTTATTATTTGGTGCTACGCTTTATTTTTTCTTTTTTGATGTCTATTTAGGAAGGATTATGAGAGGTTTTTTAAATTAATTACTCCAAAAAAATTTTTTTGTATAATCCCAATGAGGCGCATAAAAAACTCTGAAAATTTAAAAGGGAGTTTTTTTAATATATTAAATGCATCAATCACCGGTTTCGTTCTTTTTTTTTTATTTTTAATTTTTGAGGGGTAGAGGTTGGGTTGACTGATATGAGAAAGGAAGTTGGGGGTATCTGTTGGAAAATTTCTTGGATTAGACGCAGGTTTAAGAGTTCGGGTCTATAAAAGACTAGATTTCTTTTGTGTATTGTATGTTAACCCGGCTCTTCCCTACTCTTAATCAAAAAAAGGGTGAGCTGGGTGCCAGAAATTTGATAATTTTATGATTTCTTTTCGTTCCTAATTTTAAGAAAATTTTTTTTGATTGAATTTTGAATATCCTGACCCCCCACCCCTTCTCTCAATTCAAATTTATTTTTACTCTTGGCATTTGTGCCGTTTATATTATTCTATAATGTAATTTTGATCTTCCTTCAAAAATGACCTAAAATTCTTTTTGTAAAATTATTTTCTGTTTCCTTCTGTTTTTTTGCTTTTATAATGATAGTAAAAACGTTTAGACTTAAGTTGGTGCAAAAGACAAGGAAAAATTTTTTAACGAAATCTTGGCCCTCTTTCACGGTTATTTTTTTGATTTCTAAGGAACCTTTTTTTTGCACTTACACCTCTCTCATTATTATTTTTCCTTTTTCCGAATTTTCTGTTTCAAAAATTTTTTTTTAATTTTTTTTCTCTTGAATATTTCGCTCATAATTAATTATTTCCAAAAATTTTTTATTTTTTTCCTTCTCTTATTCTCAAAAAAATATTTTTTGGCTTATTAAAAACCAAAAAAAGAGAGCTGTAAAAAGACCGATATGTATTTCACGACAATTTTTGTTTTATTGAAATAATCAAAAAAACAAACAACCATTTTATTGTATTTAATTAGAATTATAAATTTAATTTTTGATTAATTTAATATTTTTAATTAATTTTTAATTATTTTTTAAATTATTTTAGGTAGATAATTTCAAGATTGGTTAATGTATAGTGTGTGGTTAAGTGTGTTTGTGTTGGACTTGTAAAGTGGAGGGTTGTGGGTTCGATACCCTGTGTGGGTGAATTTTTTTAACTTTTGTTTTAAACATTATTTTGATTGATTTTTGGTGTTTTATTAAGTCGGAACAATTTTTAAAAATTTTTTAAGGCTCTAATGTCCCCTTTTATAATAAATAGGGGTGCCAATTATATGGATATAAAATCGCAAAATATGGCCATAAAATATGGATATAAAATCCTAAAATATGGATATAAATATGGAAATAAACAATAAATATGGATATAAAATACTGAAATATGGATCAAAAAATAGTGAAAAGATATTTTAAAAATCAGTATTTTAAGTAGAAAACGATAATTTTGCCTATAACTTTGCATTTTAAGAGCATTTTAGAAGATTTAATGGATTTAAAATTTGTGTTAAAATTTTTTTGAAAATAAGTTTTTCCGAAAAATTTTTGAAAAAATTTTTTGACCAATAATTTCCAAAATTTTTAAAAATTTTCCAAAAATTAACCAAATATGGACCAAAATATTCAAAAAAGTAGAAATATTGATATAAAATATGGATATAAAGGCTAAATATGGACAAAATATGGAAAATATGGGCATAAATCCAAAATATGGAAAAATATGGATTTTAAAGACCAATCTAGAAACCCTAAAACATGCCAAAAACATGTTTTTTGTGCATTTCACAGTCATAGGAATTCAGGAAAAAAATATGGATTTCCATATAATTGGCACCCCTAATAATAAAAACAAAACGCCAGAAAATTTATTTTTCTTCGTTTGATTTTTGATCTTTAATTTTTTATTTTTTTTCAACACAGCTGATATTTAAATAAATATTTTTTGGAAGCATAATAAAGTTGAAAAAATAATTTTAAATAATTTTTTGAAGCTGTTGAATTGAGGTTTATTTAATAAAAAAAATTTTTTTATTTTAAAAATTTTTTAGAATTTTTAAAAATGCCAGAGACACCTTCCAAAACTTCAAATCATCAAAGAATAAAAGAAATGATGTTACATTTGTCACCAGAAAAGGCTGAAATACCTTATAATTTATGTTTTGGTGAGGTTTATTTTTGAAAATTAATTTTTTATTTAAAAAATTTAAAAAGATGATTCAAACAATCTGTGGGTGGCTAGTAAAGGAGGTTTATTTAAATTTGATATTTCAACAAAATCTGTACTTTTCTCGATGAAAAATGATTTTCCAAAGAAGGTTGCTGCATACCCGCAAATTTTGATGTATAAAAATAAGGTGAGGAAATTTTTTTTAATTGGGTTTTTTTTTAGTTTTTTTCTTAGGGTTTTTTCAGGTTTTTCCTACGTACCAAAATTTAGAAATTTAGTATAATTTTTGTTTTGGGGATTTTGTGGGTTTCTATATAAAACAGGCCTGTGGAATTTTTGAATTCTTCGAGAATTTTTTTTGGGAATTTTTTGAGGTTGCTTTTGGGGTATTCTTGACCTTTTGACTAAATTCGTGGGAGGTTTGGGAAAAATTTTTTAGGGTTAAAGATAATTTAAAAAATATTTTGATAAGATTTTAAAGATTTTCAAGGTCTAAAATTTTTTTTTAATTTTTAAAAAATTTATTAAAATTTTATTTTCAGTTAATCTATGTAACTGGTGACTTGGAATTAATGCAATTTCGAATTCTTGATCAATTAGGCAACATTGAACATGAAAGCTTTATTGAAGGAAAAGTACAAAGTTTGGCTATAACTAAAAGTGGGGATTTATTTATGACAAAACAAATGAAGTCTGCGTCTCCTGAACTTGAACAAAATAATTCGGGGATGGATGAATCGATTATTTGGAGGTTTTTTTGAAAGAAAAATTTTTTGAGAATTATTTCAAGCTCAAAAATAAACGGGAAATTCAGGTTCGATACCTAGTGGTAGTTGGGGATAGTTGGTACACTCCGTTGGGGATGCGGTCGGGTCTAGTTTTGTTTTAAATTCCGAGAAGGCAAGTTTTTGCAAATATAGGGACGGCAAGGTTTTTTAAAGTGCTATACAGGGACTAAACTAAAAACAGACTAACTTATCTACTATTAATAAGTATATTAAATCCTTACCACTCCCTCCCTCCCCCTCGAAAAATTCTCTATTTTATTTTCAGATCACATATTGACTTCCCTTCTGCGTGGGATGAATTTGCTTCTTCATTTGATGAATGTTTTCAATGTTTATGTTTATTGGATGATGAAACATTAGCAGTCTCTGTTGCTTCTATTCCTGTCAATATTTATTCAAAGTTTGTTTTTTTTTAATATTTTTTAGTTGATATGGGTCAAAAGGCTACAGGGTAGACATGGTTATGGTTACTCGAAACCTAAACCTCTCCAGCCCGACTCGAGAAATTTTCGAAAACCCGACATGAGACCTTACTCGAGTTTTTTCTTAGCCTGACTTATCCGTTTGCCTAAACCAATTCGATTTTAGGACGTACAATTTTTAAGCCAGAAAAAGATCTGGGACTATGCTAATTTAGCTTATTTTTAAAAATTCCCCCTACAAAAATTTTTTCTTAAAGGCAATCAATAAAATTTTTAAATACCAAAACTGGTCAATTAATTGGAAAACCATTTTCTTCATGTGGAAAAGAAGCAGGCCAAATATTTTTCCCTCGTTGTATGCGTCCTTTCAACAATTGTCAAAATTTATTAATAATGGATAAAACTGGAAGATTTTTAAAATTTGATAAAAATGGGCAATTTATTGAAATTTGTGCAAAAATTGATGATTATATTGGAAATGGTTTTACTTTAAAAAATGGAGAGGAGGAGGCTGTTATTGCTTGTAGTGGAATTGTTTTGGATGAGGTTTTAATTTTAATTTATTTTTTCTTAAAAAAAAGGGTGGGCGGGGAGTAGGGTTGTCGGTTAAAATTTAAGAACCAGGGAATGGGACATGTGATCCCGACCCGATTTTTTTTTCTCAACCTTTCCCATTAGAGATCAGCCTGAGTCTGGACCAAGGCCTGGGGTTTTCCTGTACTCACAGTCCAGGCTCAAGCATTTTTTGACCTTCTTGGGTTTTTCTTGGGCCTGGGTTTTTCCTGGACTACAGGCCCAGGATCCGCTCAGGTCAATAAATCAAACCTTGAGTCCAGGAACAGACTCAGGCTTTTCAAAAATCTCGATCTCTACTTCTCATCCATGTTGGGGACTGTACCAGATAATAAAATAAAATCCTCCTGTTATTCGAATTGAACTGGATAACAGAAGGATTTTTGTGTCAGTTTCGGATATTCGAAGCTTTCCGACAACTTTTTTGGGGTAAATATTTTATCTTTTTTTTAATTTTAAGAAAGGCGAAAGTATTTGTGATGATTGGATAGAAGCGATTAAATTGGATGGATCCAGATGGACAGAAGAATAGAAAAAAATTTTTTAATAAAATTGGAGAGGTCTTCTATGAAGACTTTATTTCACTTAAAAAATTAGGTTTTCTTTTTTTTTTAATTTAATTATAAAATACATAATAATTAATTTTTTTTAATTTTTTGAATAAATATTTTTTTTAATTTATTTTGCGTTTTTTTAAAGTTGATTTAATATTTCAACTACATTATCTTTTATTTTTTTTAATTTAATTTGGGGTCATTTTCCAGTCTTTTCTGTTTTCTATATGTGCTTAAAAAATTAATTTACTAATAAGTTCGGTTGTGGTGTAATGGTTAGTGTGCTAGATTTTGTGCTGGGGGGCATGAAGGTTCGAGTCCGTTTGATGCCCTTTGGTGTTTAATTGTGTTTTTTTTATTTTTTTAACGTTTCAAAAAATTTTATTACGGGTTTAGGATTATTTTTTATTTTTTTTTTCTGTGACTCATCCCTTTATTCTCTTCAATTTTGCAAGAAAAATGTATATTTTTTGGGAAAATTTAATCGTAATATTTTTTATTGCAAAAAGTCAACTTTTCTCTGTTTGTATGTACAAATAAGCAGATTAAAAATTTTTATAATAAATCGTTGCAATCCTTCCCTCTCTTTTTTAATATATTAAATCAATAATAAGTGTCTTCTCCGTATATTTTTATTTATTTAATTTCTTCACCCCATTAAAAAAACAAAAGAATTAATAAATAAACATTGTTGCGTTGGGGAAAAGAAAACAGAATTTTTAAGTTTAATTTCTGATTTAAAATATTAATTTTCAGAATATACACAATTTTAACTATAAAAAAAGAAATCAGATTTTCACTTTTTAAAATATCATAATTTAGCCATCAGAATTTCAGAAACCAGAATTTTAGAAATCAGAATTTCAGAAAATCAGAATTTTTTCAGAAAATCAGAATTTCAGAAACCAGAATCTTAAGAAAATCAGAATTTAGAAACCAGAATTTATTTCGTTTAAAAATCAGAATTTCTGGAAAATCAGAATTATTGACCCAAACGTCTTTTACCATTTTGTCTGTATTTATTATGATATATTTTTACCTTAAATTTTTAAAATACCTAAACTTAAACTTTTCAAAACCTCTAATTTTAAAAATGTCCATTTAAGCAATTTTTTAATTTTGTCACTCTTAAAAATTAAAACCAACACAATTATTTTTTTAATTCTTTTTAAATTCTTTTTTTTTTCGTTAAATAAATACACGTGTATAACAATAAAAAATCTATCAAAGAATATAAAAGAATTTTTGAGCATTTAAATAAAGAAAATTCTTTCCCCCTTTTTTCCCCGCAATAATCCGATATATCGTTTTTCCGTGATCTCTTTTTTCCCTTCATTTTTCCCTTCATTTCTTCGTATTTTAAAATTTTTTTTTTCTATTATTGCTACTTTTCTCGCGTATTTTTCTCAATTTTCGTGTTTGTTAAAGACCTCCTCCCCCTTCTCCCCTCTTCTTTGCCTCCATATTTTTCCCAAATTTTGGGGGAATGAAGCAAGGGGGAATGATTTTCTTTTCTTGTGCTTCTCATCTTTTCTGCGCTAACCTGAAAAAAATTTTTTTTCTTGAAAAAGTTGTTGTTCTACTTTAAAAATTTATTATTAATTTTTAGCGGGAGAAGGGAACAGAGTTATTTTTTTAATTAAAAGAATTGGGGGGGGGGGATGACTCATTCACTTTTTAATTTTTTTAATCTCTCTTTTTTTCACTCTAAAAAATTAATATTTATTGTGTACTTTTTCTGATTTTTTTTGATTTTTTTGTGTGTTGAAATACCTTAATATTTTGTGTATATTGTTAAAAAGTATTAACTCTTTTGCAAAATTAATTTTTATTATTATTATTTTTGTTGGTTGGTTAACCCTTCCCTACCTCCCCTACCTCCCTATTTTATTTAATATTCACTAATGTATTTCATCATTTTTACATATTTATTTTTATTTTTTTGGTTATTTTTGCCACGACTCAATATTTATATATTTTTATTTTGTTAATTTTTCTTATATTTTTTGATTATTTGTCTCAAATTTTTTTAATCAAAAATAAATTAGGTAATTTTAGATAAGAAAAATGTGCAGATTCAGTAATTTAATAATTATTATTTTTGATTTATGTTTTTTTAAATTGATTTGATTTTTTGTTGCGAATTTTGAGAGATGAATTTTAAATATAAATCTATTTTTCAGTCATTTTTTTGAGTTTCAGGCGTTCTGTATTTTTTTAATTTTTTTTTTAGTTTGTCTTGTGATTTTCTAAAAAAATTTTTTTTTAATTTTTCAGGTTCTCTCGGAAGAGAAATAATTTTAATAATTTAATTAAATAATTTCAAAAAATGTTTTCTTGGCTAGGCAAAAACAACGAGAAAAAAGAACAAAATGTATTGGAAACTGTAAGTGAAGGACTTCGAAAAATTTACAAAGAAAAGCTTTTTCCATTGGAAGAATTTTATAATTTTCACGATTATCATTCGCCAGCATTAGGTTTTTTTTGAAAATTTTGAAAAGGAATTTAAATTTGTTTTTAGACGACCCTGACTTTAATGCAAAACCGATGATTTTGTTGGTTGGACAATACTCAACAGGAAAAACAACGTTTGAATTTTTGTTTATTTTTGAAATATATTTAGAATTAGTGTCTAGTTAGGGGTAATAGGAATCCAATTTTTATTTTTTGGCTACTTTTATGTTTGAGTTATAGATCAGGGATGGTATTTCTTCCCCGTTCGTTTTCCTTTTCTGTCTTTTTGCTTCTTAAAATTCAGAAAGACAAATCCAATTACAACTAGTTTAGCTCAGAAACTCTTACCTGTGTAGAAGTACTTTAAACACCTTGGATTCCTCACTTGAGTTTAGACTGGATTTAGTTTTGGATAGTAATCCCCTAGTCCTTGCGAGGAAGGGTCTTCAACCTTCTACTGATCTCTAGGCCTTTTTTCATGGTTGGCGTCTTCAAACCTGAAGATTTTTGAGGTCTTTTTTGGTGACTGAGAACCCTAATTCCATCTCCTATTATTATTAAATATTTAAAACCTTAACAAAAATGTTCTTTTAAGCTTCATCCGTTTCCTGCTTGAACAAGAATTTCCTGGAATGCGAATTGGACCTGAACCGACTACTGATAGATTTATTGTTGTAATGAATGGAGATGGTTTTTTTTATTTTTTTATTTTATAAATTTTATTTTTAAGAAGTTGGTGTTATTCCTGGAAATGCACTTGTAGTTGACTCTACTAAACAATTTCGGGCTTTGACAAAGTAAATTTTTTAATTTTTAGTAAAGGTTATGAGGGTATAAATTGGATGACGATTAAGTTTTGTAGTGGTGTAATGGTTAGCGTGTTGGGTTTTGTGGGGTGATACATATAGGTTCGAATCCTCTACGTGCCTTTATTTTTTAAAATGTTTTATAAGACTTAAAAAATTTTTTTAACACTTAAAATTTTTTAAAAATTTCAAAAAATTTTTTAAGATTCGGAAATGCTTTTCTCAACCGTTTTCAATGTTCAATGCTGAAAAATGACGTTCTTAATTCCGTTACAATTATTGACACGCCCGGAATTTTGAGTGGAGAGAAGCAACGTATAGACCGTGGTTACGATTTTTCTGGTGTTTTGGAATGGTTTGCTGAACGTGTTGACCGAATTATTTTGTTATTTGATGCACACAAATTGGACATTTCTGATGAATTTAAAAGATGTATTGAGGCACTTTCGGGTTTATTTTTGATTTTTGGAGGGTTTTTAAAATATATTTTTGAAGGCAATGAAGACAAGATTCGCATTGTTTTGAATAAATCTGACATGGTTGATCATCAACAATTGATGCGTGTATATGGAGCATTAATGTGGTCACTTGGAAAGGTTTATATTTTTTTTTTAATTTTGATTTAAAATGTGATTTTGTTGTGGGTGCTCGTGTTTTTTTGGCTTTAACTTTTTACTGCCTTTAATTTTTAAAAATTCTTTTTCATTTTCGAAAGCTCTGAATGTCCTTATTCTTTTCCAGTTAGAACTGATAAGAGCTTTTTTTTATTTTTTGGTCATTCCACTCTTTTTAGGATCATAATACCTTTTTTTAACTCTTTTAATATTGGATAGATCTTGTACTTATTCTTCTCCTTATTGGACTGATAAGTGCTTGATTTTTTTGTTTGCAATCGTTATCTTCCTTTTTTTACTCATACCTTCTTTTTGAATCATTAAATCAGAGATAGTAGTTGTGTCATGAAAAAGAATCAGCACATTTGGAGCTTTTGTTTAAAATAAAATTGATTGGATTAATTAAAAACTGGGCAAGTTATGGACCAAAGAGGGTCTCTGTTTCTCTCCCCTGTTTTTTTATTTCCTAAAAAAATTTTTTTTCTAAAGGTTTTTAAAACACCAGAAGTTGCTCGTGTATATATCGGCACATTTTGGGATCATCCTTTACATTATGATATTAATCGACGTCTTTTTCAAGATGAACAACACGATTTATTTGCTGATTTACAAGTTTGGATTTTTAAATTTATTTAAAATTCTTTTAATTTTCTAGTCTCTTCCAAGAAATGCAGTTTTGAGAAAATTGAATGATTTAATAAAGAGGGCTCGTTTGGCTAAAGTACATGCTTATATTATTTCTGAACTTAGAAAACAGTTTGTGATTTTTTTTAATTTTATTGGATTAGGTTTCTTTCCTTTTTTATATCATTGAGTCTCCTATTCCCCTCTCAACACTCTTCCTTTGTTTTCTGGAATTATTTTTTTGGGCTTCCTACTGGAAATTTAATTTCGGTGATTCATTGACGCCCTTAAAATCCTCTTGGAATTTCTTTTGTCTCTCTCTGTTTTCCCTCTACTTTCTCTCCCAAAAATCGAAAGTTTGACTGGCCATAACTTGGTTCAAAGTTATTTAAAAAAAAGAAAGTTACTTGGCATTAGTAAGTCGGGGATCTCCTATCGACTATTTCCAAAAAATATAGAATATTTACACATTAGACAATGCTTTATTTTTAACGTTTAATTTTCCTCCCTCAAAAAAATTTTTTAAAGGATGCCATCAATGATTGGAAAAGAAAAAAAGAAGAAAGAATTAATTCAAAAATTGGATAAATTATTTGAACAATTACAGGTTTTTTTGAATTAAAATATTATCTTTTAAAGATTTTTTAATTTTAGAAAGAACATGGAATCTCTCCAGGCGATTTTCCTGACATAAACAAAATGAGAGCAAATTTGGAGAATGCAGACTTTTCGCGTTTTAATGCTTTAAAACCTCGATTATTGCAAATTGTTGATGATATGCTTGCCAAAGATATAGGTTTTTTTTAGTCTTGTTTAAATTTTTTTTCAAATTTCTAGAAAAATTTTTCAAAGTTAGAGGGATTAGGGGTTGCTTTGTTTTATTAATTTTAGAGACGAATACTCTGATATTTAGTGTTAATTAATTATTTTTTGTTCATGTTATCGGTGGCGCAATGGTTAAGGTCCTTGAATTTCCCTTGTAAAGGTTTAAGGTTCGAATCCTTTTGGTTGAAATATTTTTCCCTGGTTACCTAAATGTTTTTAAAAAAACTTTTAATGTTTTTTTACCAAAATGACATCCAAAATTTTTTTTTGTTATTTTTTCAATCAAAATTTTTAGCCAGATTAATGGCCCAAATTCCAAAAGAAGAATCTGATGCTAACAACAAAGTAGTTGATGCTCTAGGCAATCGTTTGGATCAATCAGTACGTGGCGGAGCTTTTGAAGCCGAAACAGAAGCTGCAACTCCATTTGGTTTTGGAAGGGGAGAGGGGGTTGATAAAGGATCAGGTTTATTTTTTTAAATGAATTTTTTGAAATTTTTTCTTCAAAATTTAGATGAAACGGAATGGGTTGTTTCTCGTGAACGTTATAAATTTGACGAAATGTTTCAAGAATTGCAACCTGTGGATGGGAAAATTACAAGTTTGTTTTTGAATTTTTATTTTTAATAATAAAGGGACCTTCCAAACAATGTTGAAACTTTTTATCCTCGATAGGGCTTGATTGATTTTAAAAAAAATAAAGGAATCACTCATACTACCTACAAAGTATCAAAGCGACGAAGGCCCATAACTCCGTATCCAAAAAAAGCTAAAAGTTGACATTAACCGACTATCCTCTATCGAATGATCCCAATGAAACTAGGAGAATTTAATAAATTGGAAGGTTCTTTTCTAAATGGAGTTGGCGGTTCCTAGTATCCTATCAGCTGGAAACCTCACCTGATATCCGTAAATTTTTGGTTCGGTTATCGGTTCCAGATACCCGAGAGATTTCCCAGGAGCCGCCAACCCTCCTTGTAAAAATTATTTTAATTAAATTTGTTTTTAGGTTCTCAAGCCAAAGTTCATATGGTTAAATCAAAACTTCCCAATTCTGTGTTAGGCAAAATATGGACACTTTCTGATATTGATAAGGTTTTTTAATATTTTTTAGATTTAAATGATTTTTCTGTTTCACAGGACGGCCAATTAGACGCTGACGAGTTTGCCTTAGCCAATTATTTGATTAATCTAAAATTGGCTGGACATGCAATACCTGAAAAATTGCCGAAACATTTGGTGCCTCCATCAAAGTTGGTGGAAAATAATAATAATAATGGTGATGGAATGACTAATGGAACTTCATCTTATCCGCGGTTGGATGAATAAATTGAAAAGAGAAGTTGGAGGTTTTTTATAATTTTATAAATTTTTTGTCAATATATTGGGGAGGAAAGACTAAAAAGTTAAGTGGTTGTGTGATTCGAATTTTAAAATTTTTTTAAAGTTTTTACTCGTTTTCTCAAACTTTTTTGGACGTTAAAATTGATTCGGAACCTTGGGACATTATTTTGGTTGTTTTTTGAATTTATTGAGTAAGTTTAAAAAATATTTTCCCCGAACGGGTTCGAACCCACGACCCCCTAAGAACACAATTACCTTAAAATCGACAATAAAACACTCAATAAATAATTAAATCACACTTTTTAGTAATTAAATAGTCGAGAAAATCAATAGAATAGATTATTTGTAAAAATAAAAATTAATGCCTCCGAACGGGTTCGAACCCACGACCCCCTAAATTTCTGGTAAGGTTTTTGAAAACGAGTAAAAATTAATTAAATATCCACGCAAATTGTACATGAAAAAATGTGAAGGGATTTTTTGGTCACTTTTACTCTTTTTAAAAATTTCAAATCAAAAATTCTTGACCAAAAAATATTTCCAATTGTTCTAAATTTTCTCTTTATTTTCCCTTTTAATATTCTCGACTTTATATAATTAATGTCTTAATTTCCCCCAATGCTTTATTATTCTAATATAAAAATAGAATTTTACTCTCGCAATTTTTACTACTTATATATAAAGCGTTGATTTGACAATTTGAAATTAGCCGAATAAAAATTTTACAATTGTCGTATTTATAACTAAGAGGCATTCTGTCGTATTTTGAACTTTGTGGCATTTTGTCGCATTTGTAACTAGGATTCATTTTGTCGCATTTATAACCAAGATACATTTTGTCGCATTTATAACTAAGATGCATTTTGTCGTATTTATAACTAAGAGGCATTTTGTCGTGCCAGTAAATAAAATTAAATATTAATTTAAAAAAATCGATATCAATCGATAAAATCAATACTAATCGATAATTTATTTTTTAAAAATTCTGAATTTTCAAAAAATCGATATCAATCGATAAATTCAATACTAATCGATAATTTATTTTTAATAATTCTGAATTTTCAAAAAATCGATATCAATCGATAAAATCAATACTAATCGATAATTTATTTTTTAAAAATTCTGAATTTTCAAAAAATCGATATCAATCGATAAATTCAATACTAATCGATAATTTATTTTTAATAATTCTGAATTTTCAAAAAATCGATATCAATCGATAAAATCAATACTAATCGATAATTTATTTTTTAAAAATTCTGAATTTTCAAAAAATCGATATCAATTCATAAAATCAATACTAATCGATAATTTATTTTTTAAAAATTCTGAATTTTCAAAAAATCGATATCAATCGATAAAATCAATACTAATCAATATATCGATTTTTTAATTACAAAATTTGAATTACGACTTTATTCTACATAAAAATATATAAAAATTTTATTTATCACATAAGGCAATTTATTAAAAAAATCAAGAGTCAAGTATAGACTTCAAGTCTGTGGATGAAGCCGTTCTCAAGGCGGAGGGTGATTCATCCAATAAAAATCCTCTATTTGGAGTGCTCTATTAAATAAAAGATTTAAAAATTTAATTTTTGATTTAAAAATTCAATTCAAATTTAAACCTCAATAGGAGGCAAGGCAAGCATTGATTTTGTGTTGTCAACAGATTCTTGTTCTAAGAATCTAATAAATTGTTCGGTCAATGAAACCTCTTTTCTTGAAAAGGGTTGAGGAGAACTGCCAAAAGAGAACCATGAACTGCTTGAAGTTGAAGCACTTATTGCTTTTTGAAGTTGAGCTTGTTCCTGAAAAAATAATGAGTAACTGTTTGACCTCCTAATTTCAATAACGCTAAATTACTGATCATCAAAAATGTATGATGGCTGTATTATTCGTGGTTGTAGTATCGTGGCCGTATTTTCAGCCATAACTTTTCTGATACTTAACCGATTTAATTAATTTTTACACCAATAGAAAGCTCTGAATGTACTGATTATTTTAGCAAACAGGACTATTTTGATCAGATCAAACTACAAACAGTTAAAGCTGATAAGTGTGCTTAATCGTGATTTTTAGTCTTTATTCAGTTACAACATTAAGTAGAGTGATCTGACCAAAACATTCTGGTCAATTCTGGTCAGATCCCGAAATTAGAGCTTTCGATTGATAAAAAAATTATTTTAAATTTGGTTAACAATCCAAAAAAAATATTTAAAAATTTATTAAAAACAAACAAACCTCTTGACTATACCCCAATATTTTAGCCATAACAATAGCAATTTCAGGTTGTTTTGATTTTTCTGCCATAAAGAAGGATAGAAATAATTGTTTTAAAGTAGAATCGTCAATTTTTTTGGTTGCTGGAGGTTGCTGTGAATTTTTAAAAATTTTAGGGTTTTCCAAATTTAATTCTTGTTGTTGTTGTAATATTCTAAATTCTTCCAAAGAATTTTCTAATTCATCAATCAAATCATTTTTAATTTTTAATTGAGATTCTAAATAATTTAATTTATCCAAATTTGTTGCTTGGGTTAATTGAATTAATTCTTCTTTTTTTTGAAATTGTTGGATTTGTTGTTTTTCTTTCTTTAATTAGAAAAAATAGATACATCCAAGTCCCGACCCTACAACTCATAAAAGGACGAACACTTTTAAATGTTGTTGGTATCATTGGGTAGAGAATAATTGAATCCACTACAAGATACTAAAAAATCAAAATTCAAGACAGCTTGTTAAAAAGTTATGGTTGATAAAGCTGCAAAAAATCACAATTTTCTTTGAAAAATGTTTAGTTTTTAGCCTATAACTTTTTTTTTATCAATTATTCACAAATTTCGATTCTTTAGTATCTTGTAGTCTATTCAATTCTCCATCCAGTGGTACCAAAAACATCAAAAAATATTATCCCTTCTTAAGTTATAGGGCCAGGACTAAACTGCTATGGGGAAAAAATTAAAAAAAACACTATTTAAAAATAAATTTATTATAAACCTTTAATTCATCCCTCAACATTTTTATTTCTCCTTCAAACCGAAGTTTTTCACTTTTTTGTTCATCAGCAAGATCCTAAAAAATTAAAATTAAAGGAAAATTATTTTTAGAAATTTTTTAAATTTGCGGACAGAACTTGCGGACAATTAGAAAATTCTTTTTTAATTTTAAAAATTAATTTTAAATATTTTTTTAATAATTAACAAGATAAAAAAACCTTCAAAACAATTTGTAAATTAATTAAAGCATTTTTAGTTTCAGCCAACGAACTTTCCTTTTCATTTAAATTTGAAGTCAAATCCTCCTTTTCTTTTTTTAAATTTTGTAAATTTATTTTTAATTGTTCACATTCATTTTGATAATTTTGTAAACATTTTGACGTTGTAAATTCATCATTTTCATATTTATTTTGAAATTCTCTCAATTGACGGCGTAATTCGGTTTCACGTTCTTCAGCAGCTATTGCTTCTATAAAATTAAAAAAAAATTTTTAATTAATTTAGAGTGGATATAAACCTTCGAGGGGATACTTAAACATATTAAAAATGAAGGAAAAATTTCTTAAAATGTTTAAAAAATTTTAAAACCAAAAATAAAATTTAATTTCCATAAAAAAGAATTTTTAAACAATTATAAAAATGCAGGCAACCAAAAGGATTCGAACCCATGACCCATCAAGAAGGCTAACCAAACACACTAACCATTACACCATATGACAACTTAATCAAATCTAATAAAAACCAACCATAAGCATTTAAAAATTAATAAAAAATCCCCTAAAAATTAAAAACATCCAAACCTTTAGAAGATATTTCTTCAATTCCAAGTAAATGTTCTTTTAAACGTCCCAATTCGCTTTCCAATTTTAATATTCTCCCATTTTTAATTTCCAATTCTTTATCCTTATTTTTATTTTCATTTAAAGACAATTCCAATTTTTGAGAAAATTCTTCCAATTTAAAATAATATTTTTGGCATTCCGAATGTTCATAATCCAATAAAGATTTTAATTCTGAATTGTCTGAAGTTAGAGTTGAAAGATCCTTCAAATGCTGAAAAAATGAATTTTTTTAATTAAAATTTATTTAATAAAATAAAATTAAGGGAAATCAGAGGACGGAAGAAAATCAGTAAAAAGAGAAAAGAGCTTTCGGGTTCGAAAAGTTCAAAGGCTTTAATAAAAACAGGTCACAGTTAAAAAATTTTTTTCAATTTAAAAAGGAAAGTTTTATGACAATAAAAATCCGAAAAAAATTCTTAAAAATCAAAAAAAAATTTTTTTTTATAAAATTTGCGGATAAAACTTGCGGACTTTTCTCGGAATTTTGATCAGACGAAGTCCAATCCCTAATTAATAAAAAAAAAGGTCATAAAGTCATCACCACGTTAAAAAATTAAAAAGAAATTTTTTTTGCAAACCCTTTTATTCTCCATCTCCAAAAATTCAATTTTATCCATTTCCCTCTTTTTAATTTCCTCTTTTTCAAAACAATTTTTTTCTTCAATTTCTTTCAATTTGCTTTCATATTCTTCTTTTAAAAATTTAATTTCGTCATTAAAATCACTTTTAGCCCTTTTATCATATTCCAATAAAAGGTTTAATCCTTCAATATTTTCTTCCTTTTCTTTCAAAAGATCTTTTAATTTTTCCTGTTCTTCAAATCGTTTCTTTAAAAAGAAAATTTTTTTTGAATTTATTAAAAGGGGAAATATTTTTGTTTAGTTTACGAGTCCTCCCACAAGTTTTTAGACTTTTTTTGTGGGTTTCGAGGGAGTAGACAGGGGGTCAATTTCAGGAGGGGAGCTAAAATGAGGGAGGGGGCATGTGTCACCAACCCGAAGACCGACGACGTAGAGGTTGGCAAGTTGCCGCCACAGAAAGAAGGAGACAGGAGGTTCGAACTCATTTTAGCCCCCCCCCTTCTAAAATTCAGGAAGGGAGCTAAAATGAGCTAAGCCCTCGAACCTATAAACTGGACACCCCCCTTCCTTTTCTAAACAATTATTAATAAATAAACCTCCTTTTCTTCTTCAATATTCTTCCTCCATTCTTCTAATTCGTCTTTTAAATGCTTCAATTCCTTTTCTTTATTAGACAACTTTAAATTTTTTTAAATTAAATTCTATCCTTTAAAACTTAAAAAAAAACCTGTTCAATAACTTGTTCTTTTTCTAATAATATTTGCCGTTTACTTATTTCTTCAAGAGATATGTGTTCTTTTAATTGGGCAATTTGTTCGAGTAAATGAGACATTTCATCCTTCAATTGATTTATTTGAATATCTTCTTCTGGAGTAAATTGTTCTGTTTGAATACTCTTGAAAATATTGAAAGCATGAAAATTATTTTTAGATTAAGGAAAAAATGGGAGACTAAATCGTTCCCCCACACATCTATATCAATTTTGGTTTCTTTTCATTTAAACTTAAAGGAATAAACCAAAAAATTTTACACCCACAGAGACTCTACATTTGAGCTAGTCCTTTATCAAGTTTATCCTATACAATGATTAGTGAAACTAGAACCACCGAATTTAAAAAAAAACCAACAGAAAGTAAACAGTTTGATTTTAAGAAAACGGGAAAATATTGAAAATCCTTCATCTTCTTGAGGATTTTCAATTCAAGACTTGTGCCTTAAATTATTTGCGAACAAAAAGTAAGAAAGGCTAACGACAGAGGAAAAGGCTCTCCACATTTAAAATCGAAAGGTGGAAGAAAACGAAAACCCAAAAAACCGAATTTGCGTGGAAGACGGAAGAAACCCTAGCCCTGGCAATGATCCGAAGAAACCTGTTCCATCATTTCAACTCTTCCACCTCCTCTTTGTCTTCTTTCACTTCTCATTAAATATTTTCCATCACTTGTCGATGAATCTTTTGTTTCACTTGTAGTTGTTGTACTGCTCGAAACTCCTTCAACTTCAATTTCATCTTTTCCCATTTTTTCCCAATCAGCATTATTTGAAGCTGCTGATTCTGAATCACTCGAAGGCTTTAAAATTTTTAATTTTAAAAAATTTTATTTAAACTCAAAAAAAAACCTTAAATTCTTCACTTCCAGTTAACAACAATTTTTCATTACGTCTAGTCTCTTCGTTAATTTCTTCAATTTGTTGCCGTAAATTGTCTCTTTCATGTTTGATTTCTTCAATCTATTAAAATTAAAAAAAAATTTTAAAGCCAAGGACGGAATCCAATATAAAATACTCTCTAGAATCAGACTTCCCTTTCTTAAATTTAAAACTCTCACTTCTATCTACAACAAGAGAAGAGGGACTTTTAGGCTGAAGAGGGAAATTCTATAGCGAGATCCGAAAATATAAATAGGGTCGCCCGGTTCAATAAAAATGAGGCAAGAAAAATATGACTCAAACGTTGCCCAATTCGAAAACCTCCCCTATAAATATAAATATTAAAAATTAAGAAAAAAATAAAAAAATAAACCTCAGCATTTTTAACATCAATCTCTGCTTTTAATAAAGCAATATCTGATTTTAACAAATTAATATCAGCTAGTAAAGTTTCATCCTTTTCAGCGGATATTTGTTCGTTTAAATTAGAAGCATTCCAAGTCTGAAAAAGAAAAAAATAATTTTATAAAATTTTAACATGAATAAAAAATTTTTTTGTAAGATTAAGAAATAAAAATTCAAAAATTAGAAGAGTCAGGAAATAAAATAAAAAGTAAAAGAGAGCGACAGGATTCGAACCCACGCCATGTCTCCACAAAACCCAAAGCCTTACCCATTCAGCCACTGATGAATATGAAGGATATTATTTTTGTCCGAACATACTTTTTCCAGAAAAAGTAAAAAAATCTAGCGACCAAATTTAGTCCCTAACCAAATTCCCAAGCTCATATTATCCGACTTAAGCATTTTTTTAATTTAACAAAACCTCAAGTTGTTCAATTCTCTTCTCATAATCCTCCTTCAGTTGTTTAACATTAGAATTGTGTACAGACAAAATTGCAGAAATTTCATTTTCGTGCTTCTCTTTAAGTTTAGAAATTTGACTAGAAAGCTCTCCCTCTTCTCTAGATGTTGAATCAGAGTCAAGTTCAATATTTTGGAAAGTCCCTTCTTGATTTTCTTGATGAAATTTTAGTCTTTCCATTTCTCTCTAAAAAGTATTCTTTTAGGGATTTTGAATATTAAAGCCCCACTCTTCTGTTCTCTTAATTTTTTATAGTAATTTTACAGGGGCTGTTCGACCGTCGAAAACGTCCAAACTCATCATGCCATACAATGGTCTGATTTTTATTTCTTCCAATTATTTTCCATTGTATGGCTCGAAAAGACTTAGACCTCCTTAGCTCGAGGAGCTTGGAATTCCTTCTTTTCAATTGTATAATCAAAGAGCTTTAACTTCCTCGAAGGCCGAACAATCGTGAAATAACATACACAAACTTTTTGAAGTAAAACCCAAGGAAAATTGAAAAGATTAGGTCCAAAATTCCCTTTTCTTTTTTCAAAAGAAAATAAAATTAAAAAAGAAAACCTCCAATTTTTTAATCATTTCATCTCTATCCGAAACAATCGCCATAAATTTTTCTTTAACCGCATCATTTTCAATATTTACACTATAAAGTTGTTCTTCCATTTCCACCAATTTTTTCTCCAAAGCTTCACATTTTGATTTTTCAACCAAATATAAACGTTCACATTCTGTTGATTTTTTCTTTTCAATCTTTAAAAATGAAAGAGATTTCTTTAAAAAATTAAAAAAAACTTGTAATTCACTAGTTGTTGATACTTGTCCTTCTTCTGTTGCGTCATTTAAAACTTCTGTTGCTAATTCGGTAATTTGTCCTTTTATGTTTTGCAGCCAATTATTCATTGTCAGAAATTAAAGTAATTTAATATAGAACAAAAAACATTTAAAAAAGTCTAAAATATAGAAAAAAATCGTGAAAAAATTTTTTGGGAAACAAGACAATAAAATTTTAAAATAAAATGGGTCAGAGAACAAAATAAAAGTGATAAGAAAAACAAGGGATTCGAACCCACGTCGATTCCCAGTAAAATCCCAACGCCTTAACCAATAGGCCACACACACATCTGGAAGTTTATATACTAATTGAAGATACATTCTTCCGAAATTCTTGAAAAAATTAATTGAAAATTGAAGAAAATTTAAACCAGAAACAAGACAAGAAAATTCCAAAAAAAGTAGACCCAAATAAAAGTTACCATTATGAAATTTAATTAAATGTAATACTAAATATCAAAACGTCAACACAAAAAACACCAAATCAGCATTGCCACTTTTCCTCTCTTTCTCTAACCACTCTCCTCTTTCCACACACTATTTCTTGAAATTTCAATCTTTTTGGTTGAAAAGGGTAAAATTTATTTTTAACGTCTCTTTTTAATTTTTTTGTAAATATATTAAACACATATCACAAGAAATGAATGAAGCAGCTTTAGAAAGTAAAGAAGAGCTTGAAAATTTTAAAAAAGATGCAGCGGAACCAGGTTTAGACCCTTTAAAATTAAATATTCAAAAAAATTTTTTTAAAGAAACTTCAAAATCTTCAAAAAATGCAATTGATAGTTTAGAGGAAGAAGAAATAAATAATCATCAAAATTATGAGGAGGACGACGATGATGATTTTGGGGATTTTGAAGAGGCCCCACAAACTGCTTTTAATAGAGTAAATATACCAGAAAAAGAGGATGAATTAGACTGTCAAAATGCTTTTAAAGATGAAAATTGCTCAACGGTATACTTTAAATTAAAATAATCGATCCTTACCGAAATTTGCGGACAAAAAAATTTTTTGCGGACAAAAAAATTTTTGCGGACAAAACTTGCGGACATTTTCCATTTTTAAAAAGCACCCATTTAAGTCCCAACAACAAGCACCAACAACAACATCCACTACAAAACCAACTTATTTAACAATTAAAGATATAATAGAACAACCAGAATTGATAGAAACACTGAAGATTATTCCTCAAACCCCAAAAGTAGGCAACAACAATTTAATTTTAATTAAATCAACAACTTCAAGTAATTCAATTTTTGATGATTTATTTAAACAAATGGATAATATTGAACAAATTAATTTGGAAGAGGAAGGGGAAATTGAAGAAGGAAAAGTGGAGGAAGAGGATGAAGAAGCAAAGGAGGATGAGGAGAAGAAATTGAGGAGGCATTCTTCCATTGTTTACAGGTTTATTTTTTTAATTTAAAATTAAAAAATTGGTAATATTGAACCTGACAGACCCCGTTTTTTCTCCCCACAATTTTCCCTATATATTTGCAGAATGGTCAGACTTCTTCCCTTCTTCCATCCCAATTTTTCTTTCTTCCATCCAAGGGGGAATAAAAATTAATTTCTTTTGATTGTCTGTAGAAGGGAATTGGATGGAAGAAAGGAAGTCTGACCATTCTGTAGATATACAGGAAAAACTTGGAGAGGAAAAAAGGGGTCTGACAGGTTCAAATTACCTTTATTTTTAATTAAAAAAATTATTTTTTTCTTAAAGGTCTTTAAACTTTTGGAGCCAAATTTGTTTTATTGAAGAAGCTAAAGCACTCAAATTTAAATTTGCCGACTCTTTCACTTTTAAAAGAATGGTTGAAACTTTGAGGTTTAATAATAATTCTTCTTGTGATGAGGTTTAAATTCTTTTTTTTTTAATTTTTTTGTTACTTGTTTTGATTATTTAATAGGATAACTTAATTTTAAGAAATGCTTTTTTGAATGTTTGCATTTTTTATTTATTAGAAAAAATTTTTTTGTATACCCTTTGTTTTGTGATATATTTACATTTTAAATAAAAAATAAAAATTATTTTAGTTAAATTTGTACAAAAAAAATAAAAAAAAACGAGATCACAAAAAATCCTAAAAACACGCCTATATCCTATTTATTTTTGTCTCTGACCTTTGGAGAGATTGAAAATTTAAAAAAACCCCTTGATCGTGATCCTTTCAGTTGCTAACTTTGGGACTAGGAAAATCAAGGAGCCTTAAGAAAATGTTATGATTTTGACTTTAAGTCTCATTTTGATCTCTAAAAATTTTTAAAAATTTCCATAAAAAATTTCCAGAATGCTCTTTAAATCAGGCGCCCTGGACCAGATCAAGGGGCTGATCTCTACTTACCAGACTATTCCCATATATCTACCAAACTCTTCCCAAAAAACCACCCATCCCGAAAAAACTCTTCTCTTATCAAAACCATTCTCCCTCATTTTGCCTATTCAATCCCCATCATTATAATCATTCAAATTTTCTTCATCATCTTCATCTTCCAAAACATTTTCATTATTATTATCACCACCCATTTCTTCCCCTTCCAACATTATATTTCTACAAGCACACTTTTTTACTCGGACAATTTTTCTATAGAGATAACCTTTTTCCAAGTCTGGACATTCTAGACGAACCTTTAAAAATTTTTTTTTTAATTTTTGAGGAAAAATTAAAAACCTGTATTGTGTCAACTTCAGCAGGTATACAAGCTGAACAACTTTGGAATGTTGCCTTTAGTTTCTTGGATCGTAGACGGGGTATGTAAAAGGATGAACAACTTCCATGACAAAAACTAAACAGAAAAAATTTTTAAAAAAATAAAAAAAATTTTTTTTTGAAAATTTTTCAAAAAATTCTCCGAAAATTTTTCAAAATATTCAAAAAAATACAAAAAATTAACCGATTTGTAATACTTTTTGGTTTACACCCATTCACTTTAATTTTGTGTTTGAATAAATCGCCCTGACATGTGTTTGATTGAAGTGTATTGTTTACAATATCAGATGATATGTGGAGGGGAAGCATTGGTTGTGTTGAATGAATAGGTAATTGTTGTTGTTGGGGGAGATTATTCTCTGACTCTAAAATTGTTTTTAATTATTTTAGAGGGCTGGAAATAATAAAATCAGAAACGCAAACTTAAAAAGTAAAAACCAGAAACTCAACTTAAAATTAAAAGAAATCAGAAATGCAAGCTTAAACTTAAAGTTCAGAAACACAGAACTAAAATACAAAAACCAGAAACGCAAGCTTAAAACTTAAAAACATGTTGTGTTTTTTTAAGTTTAAGCTTGAATTCTGATTTTATTTTGAGCTTGAACTTAAAATTTATTTATTTATTCCAAGTTTCTGATTTTTGCACTTAAGTTTGCGATATTATTTTTGTGTTTTAAGTTTGTGTTTCTCCCAATAAAAACAGAAACACAAAAAATCAGAATTTAATAGAAACAGAAACACAAAAAATCAGAATTTAATAAAAACAGAAACACAAAAAATCAGAATTTAATAAAAACAGAAACACAAAAAATCAGAATTTAATAAAAACAGAAACACAAAAAATCAGAATTTAATAAAAACAGAAACACAAAAAATCAGAATTTAATAAAAACAGAAACACAAAAAATCAGAATTTAATAAAAACAAAAACACAAAATACAGAAAATCAGAATTTAATAAAAACACCTACCAATATTCTGGTTGTTTTGATTATTCTGGTGTTGTTTTTGTTGTTTCTTTCGTTGTTTTTGTTCTCTATTTAAAACAGACAACAATTTTAATTTGTTTTGTTGTTTTTCTGTTTGTTCATTTTGTGTTGTAGCTAACGGTCTTAATTGAAAAAATGTTTCTCTAGCAATTTCCATAGCTTCTTTATATTGTTCTCTTTCATTAGAATTTACAACAAAATTATTTAAATAATTATTGCTTCCCCCAACTTCGTCAGCAATAGAAAAAGGCCTCGCATTAATTAAATTTGAATAATAAAATAAAAATAAATTTAAAATTAAAAATAAATTATTTTTAAAATTTATTTTTGTTCTCCTTTCGATTTTTAAAGAGGAAAACATTTTTTTTAGTTGTTTTGAGGGAAAATTTTTTTTTGAAATATTTTTAACAGACAAAAATTTTTTGTTTTTGAAAGTTTGGCAAGAATTGAAAATGAAAAAATATTAGGAAGGAAAAATGGAATTTTTGAAGAAAATTGACGGCGCCTTAAAGATGAGCGACACATTTCTCACCAAAAAATTCTTTCGGCGCCAAAAACAAAAAAAAGGCATTAAAAATAAATAAATAGATAGATAAGAAAAATAATTCTTTTGTGGCCAATCACTCCTCTACTTAAGAATTTAGAAAAGAGAACGAAGGCTCCAGTGAGGGTGTGTGAAAGATTGAAAAAATAAAACAATCTGTCGCTCATAGATTGTTGGCGCCTGTCTAAAACATCAACGGAAATATTTAAAAATATAAGTAAATTCAAATAAAAACAGAACAAACAGTAAATTAAAGTGCAAAACACAGAAAAATGCAAACAGCAGAATTTTCATCCACAAATAGAAAAAATCAGAATTTAATAAAAACATGAAAAATACAAACAAGAACTCAAAAAATCAGAATTACATTATAAATACAAATCAGAATTTAATCCAAACATAAAAAAGACAAAGATCAGAATTAAATAAAAGCAAAAATATAAATCAGAATTTGTCTCCCATGTACAAATCAGAATTTAATATAAACATGAAAAATACAAATCAGAATTAATTAAAACAGAAAATACAAAAATCAGAATTTCATATAAAAGAAAAAACACAAAAAATAAACCTTGTATTTAAAACAAGATATTTTTATAAAATTAAATATTTTACAAAATTTATATTCTAATAATAAGGCAATCAAACTTCTAATATTAAAAATGATTTTAAACAAGGGATAATAATATTTTAAATATTAAAATTTTATTCATAAATTAATTTTCACTATTTTTTCTTTTCCTTTGTTTGGTATTTTAATGTATCCTCATCTGCCACGTCAAGTGAAACACTTAAAAAAATTTTTTTTCTTTTAAATGAAATTCTGATTTTTAATTTTTCCAAAAAAATTAAACTCACCCTCCAGAACGACTCTTTTTCACTACAAAAGTTCCACTAAATGTGCGTTGTGGTGATTGTTGTTGTGATTTTTGTTGACCAGAAAATGTTGTTGTAGTAGTTGTTTGTTCTTCCAAATATTTTTGTATAGCATCAAATGCTGAACTAAGCTGTTCTAAACGATCAGAAATATTTTCGTTAGAAGAGGTTACAACGCCGCTTTTTCCCCCTACACAAGAAACATCTCCTCCCCTTTCTTTGCTCCCTTCTTCTGTTAAAACCCCTGTTTGTGCAACACGTTCAAGTAAGTGTTCAACAGATGGAGAAAGTGAAGATTGATTACAAAGCCTTTAAAATTAGATTAAAAAATTTTTTTAACCAAAAAAATTTTTTTCCCTTACTTGAGTAAAGCAATGCTTTTATGACATTTTTGAGTAAGTTCATCAACTGTTCTTTGAAGACTAGTCTTTAAAAAAATTAAAAAATTTTAAATCACTCAAAAATTCTCTCCCTTACATTACAAGAATCACTTATCAAGCCAATAGAATCATCCTCATCATCACAAACTTCAGCTAATCTATTTAATTCATCATGGGAACGATGAGACTCTAATGGTGGTTGTTTATCAATTAATTGTTGTTGTTTTTGTTGAGCAGCCTTCCAACGAGAAAATGAACTTTGTTGTTTTGAATTTTGTTGTTCTTGGTTTGTTAATGTTGCAGAAATTGAACGATTTGAAGTAAACGCTTCTCTTAAAAATTAGAGAAAAAATAAATTGAGATAGTGAATAGAGTGAAAAAAAAGAAATGTTTTTAAAATAAAATGATGTTTTTATTGATGTTTTTATTGATGTTTTTGTTAAATGTTTTTGTCGTGTTAAAGTGAAAAACATCAAACAAATGTTTAAGGGAAAAACACATGTTGTTTTGGTAAAAACATTGAAAAAAACAAGGGGAAAAGTTTGAGCAAGTTTGCAAACTTAAAACAAAGTTTCAAGTTTTCAATAAGAAAAACACGAGTTCCAGTAATTGTGAAACATTTTAAAAACAGAACAAAACAACAAAACATCAAAACAAACAAAACACACAACAATCAAAAACAACAAAACACAAAAACAAGCAAAACAAAACACAGAACAAACCAAGCAAAACAAACAAAACACAAAACAAACAAAACACAAAAACAAAACAATCAACAAGCAAGCACAAAGAAACACAACTTACTGTTGTTTTCTTAATTGTTGTTGTTGTTGCAATAATAAATGCTGTTGTTGTTGTTGTTGTTCTGCTTCAGCAACAGCTCTACGAGGATCATATTCTTTACGACGTAACCAACCCAACATTTTTTCTTCTTCTGCAGCTTTTAACTGATTAAAAAAGTTTTTTTCAGTCTTAAAATTTTTTTAATCTTTACTTTAGCAGCATTTGACGATGCTGTTTGCCTTAAAGCATTTGTATTAGCACGTGTTGCAGATGTTGGACGCATTGAAAAACGGCCACCATCATTTCTTCTAAATGGGGATTAAAAAAATATTTAAAAAGTAGGGTATATTGAAGCAAAATATAGAAGCAAAAAACATTTAAAGGAATTTTTAAAAAATTATATAAAGGATAAAAGGGACAAAAAATAACAACAAATACAGACAAATACATATATAAAGCTTAATTTTTGGGAAATTAATTTTTTTTAATTAAAAAAAAATTTTTCTAATAAAAAAAAATTTTTTTTTGATTGAAAAAAAATTTTTTAATTAAAAAAATTTTTTAATTAACAACACAAAACTCTCGTTTTTATCAAAACACCAATATATTACTACCACATTACTCCACATTACTTAAAAATAAGTATTATTATTTTTAGAAGCTTACGGCTCGCTTCTGCAACGAGAATTCTGGATTTTACTACAAAAAAATGTATAAATTTTATTTTTTCTTATTTAAATTCCTAATAGGTGTCTTCCTCAAAAATTTCAAAAAAAATTTCAAAAGAATCTTCAAAAAAATTTTTTTCAATACCTAAATGCCTGTTGTTGTTGCTGCTGTTGTTGTTGATGTTGTGTGGGACAACGACATGGACGACTAAATGGAATTGGATTTGAAGCAAACACTGTAGTATTCTTCTTTTGATTTTGATTCGAATTTGTTGTTATTGTCGTTGCAACACCAGCAGAATTACCACGATGTGGGGGAATTGGGGGAGCTGTTGAAGCAAGTTTAGTTGAAGTTGGAACCACTCCAAGGGTTTTAGGCGGAATTTTTTTATTGGAAATTTTGACATTAGAAGCAGATTGTTGATTAATTATTGAAGGTTTTTCAATCTTAAAAAAAATTTTTTGAAAGAAATTTTTTCAAAAAATTTTTAAAAATCCTTTAAACCTGTCCACTTTCTCGTAATTGACGCAAATCACTCATTAAAGAACGCTTTCCAACTTGCCCACTAATTGTAAGAGGTGGACGTATATTTGTTGTAGTTGTAGTAGCAGAAATAGGAGGGTTACCAGGTGAAGGAGTTCGTCCAGTTGATGAAGTATGTGTAGAAGCATGTGTTGAAGAAGATGAATCAGAATCACTGAAAAAAGGAATTTTTTGCTTCATTTATTAATTAAAGCTTTATTTATGTTCTGGTTTTATTTATTTAATTATTCTGAATTCTGATTAAATTAATTCAAGTTTGTAAACTTATTTTAATTGAGAATTCAAGTTTATTATTATTCTGGTTTCTCAAGTTTGCAATTTAATTAATTCAAGTTTATTTATTTTACAAACTTGAATCAGAATATTAATGAATCAGAATTAATTCAAGTTTGTAATTAATTAATTCAAACTGCTAGTATTCTGATTCTCAAGTTTGCAACTTTAACTAATTCAAGTTTATTATTTACAAACTTGAATCAGAATATCAACAACTTAAATTAATTCAAGTTTGTAATTTTAAATTAATTCAAGTTTATATTATTCTGATTTCTCAAGTTTGTAAATTTATCTAATAAATTCAAGTTTGTAAAAAATATTCTGGTTCATAACTTTGCAAGTATACAAATTCGAATCAAAATAAGCTTAAATTAGCTCAAGATTATAATTTTTTAAAATTAATTATCAAATTTCTGATTTTTAAAGTTTGTAATCTTAATTAAATTCAAGTTTATTATTATTCTTTTCAAGTTTATAGTCTTAAAAACAAAAAATATATATATACCCTACCTATCATAACATCTCTGTGTTGTTCTATTACTACTTGTATTACTAACTCCACTTATTTGACTTGTTGTCATTACATCATTTGTTGTTCCACCTGTCTTTATTTTATTTTCAACTACATAAGTACCCGCTTCTGATGCCAAATCTTCTTGTCCTTCTTCTGTTGTTGTTTCATGTCCACCCCCTCCACCACTCATTGTTGTTGAAGTTGTTGCCTCAGATATAGCGCTTCCACTACGTCGTCTTCGTCTATCACTACTTTTAGACGCCTCCCCTTTTCTTCCCATCATCATTTTACGAAATAACCAACGTTTTGGATCTCCACCACATTCAGAACCAGAATCTTGTAATTGTTGTTGCTTTTGTTTGTTGTTGACATTTTCGTTTTTTCTTGACAACATAAGACGACGACCTTTAGGTGCTTGACGTGCTGCTTCTTGTAATGAAACTTCAGCAATCGAGACTTGTCCACCAAGTTGAGCATGTTCATCATTAAATGATATTGTAAAGGCTGTTGGTGGGGCAGTACGTAAAACTGTGGCTAAAAAAGAAATTTTTTTATTTGATTAAGCAGTCACTCGCTATAAAATACACACTTCTGGTTAAATAATCGTATCTTATAAGGTACCCTAGATAAAGAGGTGACTTTAAGCAAAAAGGGGAATGTCGTTAAATAACTTCCCCTTCCCCACGTCCAACAGCCCACGAGGTTAATAGGAATAAGCGTATCTTAAATAGATGTGTACCTAATTCTAAGGGGTATCTTATTGTTAGGAGGGATATCTAATATATCAGATACCCCTCCTGGTATCTAATATATCTAATATATCTTCTGAGGGGTGCCTAATTCTGAGGGGTATCTTATATGGAGGTTTGGCCTCCCTTTAAGGTCCATATAATAGAAAGTGGAAGAGGAGGAAGCTTGGCACACGCCGTTAAAAATAAACGTATCCTAAATAGAGGTGTGTGTTTAATTCTGAAGGTATCTTATAGAAAGGTACGACTTGGCCCTCTTTTTTGGTCTCATAGTAGAAAGCGGAAGAGGAAAAAGCCTATAGAACTAATTAAAAATAAAATTTTTTATTCTCACCACCTCTAACAGATAATTCATCACCGGCCATAGTTGTTGCTGTAGTTGTAGCAGTTATTTTATCTGTTCCTCCACCTTTTCCCCCTCCTCCACTAGCAAAAACATTTCCAAAAGACGACGGTCTTCCATTACGTGTTAATCCTCCTCCATTTCCTTCCATAGGTGTAGAACCTCCACTACCTAGTCCAGAACTACTCAAATCTATATCCATTCTAATTGCCTTCATTCGAGTTTGGGAAGATAATTGTTGCTGTTGTTGTTGATGGTGAGAAGGCAAATCTGTTGTTGTCTTTACTCTGAAATTTTTTTAGATAAATAAGAAGAGAGATAAGTCTAGCCCCAAGCCTAGATTGGATCGTTTCTCCGACCTTTAGACTCGGTAATGGACTTGGTAAAATCCACCAACTAGACTTGGTAATGGACATGGATTTTGGTATCCATCTCCGGATATTTACGGCTGATAGAGACGGATATCCGTAGGCATTTTGAACTTATCTGTATCGATATCCATATCCGTTACCAAGTCTTCTACAAACTACACCGTGACCTACACACCAGGGCTACTGCTCTTCTTACCTTCGATTTTTAAAAAAAATCTTTAAATCCATTGCCTAGTAATCAATTTAGAAATGCTAGCCAGTTCGAGCTCCCCCCTTCTTCCCCCTCTTCCCTACAAAAAAAATAAAAATTAAAAAAAACCTAAAAGGAGGTGACGATGCAAATGATGCTTTATTATTACTCCCAAACACTCCTCCATGTTGCTGTTTTTGTGGAGAATGATGAAAACTATCTTCCAATAAAAATGTCCCTCCACCTCCTCTATTTGAATAATTTTTATTTTCACAACCTCCAATCATTGAAGCAAATCCAGAAGTTGAATCAGAAGAACCCCCACCACCTCCAATAATTGTTGAAGTTGACATTTGATTATTTTGGTTGTAATGATGGGGGTGTTGGTGTTTATATTGATGAGCAGGTGGGGGAGAATAGGAAGAATAATAACGAGGAGAGGGTTCTTTAAAAAATAAAAATTAAAATTTGAATTAAATTAAAATTTGAATGAACCTTCAATATCACTATTATTGTTATTATCTGGAGAGCCAAACACTAATCCACCTTTAAATTGTAAAACGTTAATTACGAGAGCAGTCCAACCGCGAACCCAAGGTACCGCAGAGCTATAACTTTGTTCAACATTGCCGAATCCGGGACGCCCGGGTACGGTTCAATTCAGCTCGTCGAGACGCATCGAGAACATATCAGGGCCTCCCGAAGTCGACAATTTTGAACAAAATTATAGCTTTGCGATACGTTGGGCTCGCAGTACGTTGGCCTGCTCCCATACAAAATAAAAAAATAAAAAAAATTAGCGAAGACCAGAACTACTCATTGTCAGTTTTGGTTTCTTACGTCCACTACTTCCTCTACTACTGTTCAAACTTTCACTAAATTCCATAGAATCATCACCAAATTTTCCGATTTCTTTAACGTCAAAAAGTCGACAATTTTAAACAAAATCATAGCTCGGCGGTACCTGGCCTTGTGGTACCTTGGGGTTTACCCAATAATAAACTAAGTTTCCTAACCTCTTCCACTATCTCTCGTCGAATTGCTTTGTCTCGACTCCGTAGAAAGACGCGCCTGTTCACGTCGTTGGAATTGTTGTTGCTGTTGATGGAAATTTCTATCATTATAATAATTTCCTCTTTGACAAATTTGTTCTTCTTCAGTTTCCACATCATAACCTTTATATGTATCATTACTTGGTCTACGTCTAGAAAACAAAAAAATTTTTTTCTTCCCTTCAAAACCCCAAAAAACCTTTCATCATTATATGCAATACTTCCAACAGTTGATGGTGGCATTTCAACTTTATATGGAAGTCCGGCGGTAGAGGAGTCTTCCAATCTGTCATCTCGAGGAGAAGTACCGAGTGGGCCTTTAAATAAAAAATTTTTCAAAAATTTCTTTAAAATTTCAAACTTTGACTCCGATGCGGGCCACCACCGCTGGTAACATAATGATGAGAATGATGATGATTAGATGAGGATGGGGAACGTTGTAATTGTTGTTGCTGCTGTTGGGTGCTAGTATAAAAACCACTAGAAGAAGTTAATTGTTGTTGGGGATGTCCAATATTGTAGAGGAAGGGACCTTAAAAAATTATTTTTTTACTTGCGGACATTTCTTGCGGATAATTCTTTGAGGATTTTTTGCGGACTTTTTTTTCGGACAATTCTTGCGGACTTTTTCTTGCGGACATTTCTTTGCGGACAATTCCTGCGGACTTTTTTTTGCGGACAAATCTTGCGGACATTTTTGCGGACAATTCTTGCGGACATTTTTTGCGGACAAATCTTGCGGACTTTTTTCTTGCGGACTTTTTTTTGCGGATTTTTTCATTAAAAAAATTTTTTTTGCAAAAATTCTTTGAGCTTTTTAAAACTTTTGCAAAAAAAAAATTAAAAATTAAGTCTTTCAATTTTTTATTACATAAAATTGTAAAAAGACAGGTTAGTTTTTAAAGTTAATTTATCTTCTCCCCTCTAATCATTCCAAATTGTAGATGACGTTTTAAAATTTTTTGTGTAAAATAACGTTTTCTTTCAATTTTTAAGTGTAGAGCTAAAAAATAATTTGGGAAGTTGGAAGTTTAATTTATGAACCCAACTGAAGTCCTATAAGTCTATTGAAAGGTTTATGGCTCCAATGAAGCAAAGTTCATCAGCCCTTCATTAGCCCTTGATCTTTTTCGAGTCCAACTCAAGTCCTATAAGTCCGCAAAATTTTTTATTAGACCAGTGAAGGTATATAAGTCCATGAAAGTTTATTAGCCCTTAATCCTTTTACGAGTCCAAAAAAAGTTTATAAGTCCGAAAAAAGTTTTTTATGAGTCATATAAACCTCACTGGACTCCTAAAACAAAGGAGAGCCAAAAAGGAAAAAAAGAAAAAAAATTCATCTACAAACCTTGTGGTTGCGAAACCGCCGTTGCTGGTAAATGGCGTTGATGATGCTGATTAGGAGGGGAAGATGAAGGAGACAACAAAACTTGATTATTATGTTGACGTTGACGACTATTTGAAGAATTATTTGAAGAAAAATTAGCTAGTGGGGGTTGTTGAAAATAAGCAGTTTGTTGTGTATATATTGGTTGAAAAAATGCTGGGGCAGCTGCTGTAGCTAATGGTTGTGGAGCTGTAACTGTTGGGACAAAGAATTGTTGTCCGGTGTGGGGATCAATTAGCAAACGACAGGCGGGGATTGCGTAACCTTTAAAAATTAATTTAAAAATTGGGAGAAAGAGTATAAGATAAAGTGCTCATTGTCAAAATAAGAGGCAATAAATCCGAAAAAAAAATTTATGGAACCTAAAACCAAAGGAACCAAAAAATTTTTTTTGTGAGGGAGGCGTAAATTTAATATAAAAAAAAATTCAAAGTAACGAAAAATCCCTAGCACATTTAAAAATAGAAAACTTGGGGAACCACAAAAAAACGTAAAAGTATGGTGGCTGGCAAATAGGAAATCGGGTGCCCGTTGTCGAATGGTACAAAAAAGAATAAATTAAAAATAAATCAAATTCTCACTAAACGAGGTTCCCTTGTAAGTGTCAAAAACTCCAAAAATCTTTTAAAAACCCAAAGCTAGTAAACAGAAATATTTTTTTGAAAAACGGGGAGGGGATATACACCAAAACACCAAAAAATAAAATTTGAAAAAGCGGGAAGAGGCATACACCAAAATACCAAAAAAATTTAAAAATAAAAAAACCAAACCTAATTGAACAGCAGACAGACCAACAGCTGTTGCAGGGTGTGAAGCAGTTCCTAAAATTTGTCCTTGTGTTGGTGGAGGTGATCCACCTCCACCTCCTCCACTCGAATTATTTTGATGATGAGTTGCCATAAAAACACGTCTAGACTCCATAGGAGAAGCTAATGGTGAAACGGCTTGTTGAGCTACTGAACGTCTCAAAGGGGACTTTAAAAAATTAAAAATAATTTTTTTAATTTTTTTCACTACTCGACTCGTATCCCGCCCCAGAAACATTCTTAAAGGCCCATGAAATAATTTTGTTTCTAATACCCCCAACACATCCTCCAACACAGCCTCCCCCCACCCTAGCGTTCTGAGTACAACCATAATTTTATAGGTACTTTATCACCCCCCACCCCCGCCCATTTTGAGTCTCAGAATTTTCCGTATAAGTTGAAAATGGTCAGAGATTGGTTTTATTAATTTTTTGAGGGGATGACTAGGAGAGGGGGCACAACCTTTTACTTATTTTTGTGTGTTGGGAGAAACAAAATTATCTATAAAATATTTTTATGAAAAAAAATTTTTTTTTCTCGAACAAATTCCAACATCTAATTTGTATAAACAAAAATAAATAACTAAAGATAATTTTGTAAAACAAAAATTTTTGTAAAAATAAAAAGATAAGAGAATTACCCCAAAAAAATAATAAAAATAAAATTAAATAGAGAAATAAAAAAAAAATTCTCCCCAACCCCTTTTTACTTATTTTTGTCTCAATTTGTGTTTCTCGACCTTCCCCTCCTCTCCTCCTTCTAATCACTTACCTCCCTTCTCCTAATCACCCCTCCGAAAAATTAATAAAACCAAAAACCAAAAAAAAAATTATTTCTCTCAAAAGTTCCCCTCCCTCCCCCAAATTTTTTTACCCTTATTTTTGTCTCGATTTTAGTTTCTCGACTTACCTCCCCTCCCCCTCCTAATCACCCTCCAAAAAATTAATAAAAAAAAAATTATTTTTCTTCTCAAGTTCCCTCTCCTCCTCCCCCAAAATTTTTTCCCCCAAGACTGCTGATTAAAAAAAAATTTTTTTAATAAAAAAAAAACTAACAGAATGAGCAGAATTAGAGGCATTATTAGAATAAGGTAAAAGTTGTTGTTGTTGGAATATATATTGTTGTTGATTTGTTGTTGGGTAAAAGTTGTTGTTGCTGTTATTAGAATGATGGCCAGTATTATTATTATTGCTGCCTGATTGCATTTAAATCTTCCTTCCCTCTTTTTTTTAATTTATAGAAAAGTTGTGAGGGGTGTGTAATATTCACACAAAATTTGTTTAAAAAAATTATTCTCTTTTTTTTCAATCTCGTTTAAAGTTGTCGAACGCTGTGTGTGTGTAATAGAAAAATAAAAATAAATTAAATAGAAGGCAAAAAAATAATAAAAAAATTTCTATTAAACACACACCTTGTGATTAAACTTGATAAAAATTAAAATAAACACAAAAATATTTTTTAAGATTGGGAGAATGCCATAAGGGACTAGGCCATTAGGGCGCGGGCCAGTAAGGCGCGAGCTTATAAAACGGTGATGCTTAGCAAAAATGACCAAATTTTTCAAAAATAACTCTCGTACCTTTATCTACGTTCTCTAAAAATTTCAGAATTTTTGATCAAGAATTTCGGAAATTGTGGCCAAAAATGTTAATTTTCTGAACAAACCCTAATTTTTCGCGGTCTATCGACTATAACTTCAGAAATATTCGATAAAAAATTCTGAAATTTCTGGAGGAGGTAGTCAATGATGTTAAAGAAATTGGAGAAAATTTTCATAAATTTCGGTTTCGCCTAAGTGTCAGTTTCTAGTGCTGGCGCCCTAATGGCCCCGCGCCCTTATGACCCCAACCCTGCAATAATTAAGCAAAAAAAAATTTTTTTTTGAAAAATAAAAAGAAAAATTAAAAATATTGCTTAAAACAAAAGTTGTCAAATTGTGACGTTTTCTAACAGAAAAATAAAATTTTTTCTTCTTTTTAAAAAAAGAGCAAAAACGCCGCTAAAAATACAAAAATTTAGATGGATAGTTTAAAATATCTCTTTAAAATTAAAAATTAATGATGGGGGTGAGAAAGAAAAATAAAAAGAGAAGAGAAACTTTTTTGGTGTTTTTAACAAAAATTTATTAGCTCTCAAGGACAAATAAAAATAAATACATTGCAGAGAAAAATAAATTAATTTTAAAATGACGGGTGGAAATTAAAAGAAAATAGCGCCTGTAAATAGGATTGCAAATTTTCCGGAAAAAGTTTGTGAGGAATTACAATTTGTAAAAATAAATTAAAATTCCGGAAAAAGAAAGAAAATGTTTCCGGAACAAAAATACAAAGTATACATTGCAGAGAAAAATTCCGGAAGAATACATTTCCTTTTTCCGGAATAATACATTTCTTTCTGGAAGTCAGACACTTTCCGGAAAAATATTTCTTTTAGTTTTCTGAAGAATTACAATTTGTAAAATAGATTACAATTCCGGAAAAGGTAAGAAAATGTTTCCGAAATAATTAGAAATACTGAAAATACAAAGTACGTCAGACACTTTCCGGAAGTCACAGACACTTTTTAAACAGACTTTCCGGAAGTCAGACTTTCCGGAAAAATATTTCTTTTAGTTTTCCGGAATAATTACAATTTGTAAAAATAAATTACAATCCCGGAAAAGGTAAAAAAATGTTTCCGGAACGAAAATACAATGTATACATTGCAGAGAAAAATTCCGGAATAATACATTTCCTTCTGAAAGTCAGACACTTTCCGGAAAAATATTTCATTTTTCTGAATTACAATTTGTAAAAATAAATTACAATTCCGGAAAAGGGAAGAAAATGTCTTTTAAGTAAGAAAAAGTATTCCGGAAAATGTATTTTTAACAAAGACAGGTTTCCGGAAAAATACAATTACCAAAATACAAAGAAAAAATACATTTGCTTCCGGAACGTCAGACACTTTCCGGAAAAAAATAAATACAAATACATAAATCAGAGAAAAGGTGCGAAGGATTAAAAAAGTTTTTTAACTTACCTACAAACCAGACGGTGTAAAATCTATAAATTATTGAAATGTTAAAAACGATGTAAAGATCGATTTGACTGGCAGTAATGAAAAAATAATGTTAAAAAGAGAAAAATAATGAGGGGAAAATAAAATTTATTTGGATCTTTTTCTCTCTCTAACATCACTTTCTTCTCTCTTTCTCTATGCCAACGCGAAAAATAAATAGAACAGAGAAGCTATATTTCAAAGTGTAAACAAAACAAATTTATTTACAACACCTAAAGTTCAAAATGTCCAATAACTGAAATATTTGCATTTTGCCCCGTCTGTCAATAATTTATTATATTAGAAGCAAACAGACCTGGTCACGGATACCAATCTTGGTATCCGTATCCGCATCGGATATTCGTAGGCATTTTGACATTATCTGTATCTATATCCGTATCCACGGGCAGGTCTGGAATCAAATGTTTTGTCTTTTATAGGTATGTATTTTTAAAAACAACTGAGCTTAATTATATAAAAATAAATTTTTCATTAATTTAAAGCTCAATTGTTTAAAAACAACTATTAAAAAGCTTTCTTTCTTTCTCACAATTTTTCTTATTTTTTAAGCTAAATTAATTTCTTTTTTAAATAAAAAATATGGAGTAGATTTTAACCACACACAAATATATATCCTCCTCTTTTTGTGTGTTTTCGGGATTTTTGTCTTTGATCTGAAAAGAAAAACGAGAAGGAAATAAAAATTGTTAATTGTGTACATATCCTTGGGTTTTTTTAAAAAAGAGTGGGAAAAATAAAATAAACACAAAAATCAACTCAAAAACAATAAAAGAAAGGGATAATTGTTTTAGCTTCATGAGAAGCTAATATGAGAAGCTAACTAAAAAACAATAAAGGGATTTTTTAAAAGTAAGTTGTGTTGCTATGGTCAGTGCAGTGGAAAAAAATAAAATAAATATAAATAAAAAAATCGGGAGTGAAACAAGTAAAGAGTGAAAGAAATACAAAGAAAAATGAGTTGAAGTGGAAATTATTTTTTAAGAAAAACAATAAATAAAGAAGAAAAAAATCGCGCAAATCCACAAAATCCACACAAAAAATTAATAAAACCGCTAAAAATCAATTTGTTTTTATTTGTTGTCATAAATCGCGTGGAAAGAGGAAAGAAAAATTTCTTTTAAAAACAGCCAACTAATTTTGTTTTAGCTAACATAAGCTTTTGAGTACAAAAAAAAAAGTCTTAAATAAATATGCGCGCCACAAGTGTTTAAGCGAGAAAATAAAAGTGCAAGAAAAAAAAGTTTCATGTGACTGCAAGTGAAGAGAAAAACTTTTCGTATCCCCTCAAAATCTCTATTCCTTAAAATCTCTACTGGGCTAAAATGCCTTATAATCTCTACACAGCTAAATTCACTAAAATCTCTACTCGGCTAAAAATGATTAAAATAACTATTCCTTAAAATCTCTATTCCTCATAATCTCTACACGAGTAAAATGCCTTAAAATCTCTACAAGGCTCAAAAATAGGCAAAAAATCTATTTTTATTAAGAAGCCTTTTGAGTGCCAACGTTAAGTGCGGGAACGTTGTTCTGATTTCTGGATTATCTTTTGCTTGTATAGTTTTTGACGCTGCGGATGAACCCAGGCATGTCCAGCGGAACGACAGCAGCCGCTTCGATACGATCACCGCAAGGAAAATGAACACGACCGCAGCGAAGCAGTCGTGTCTTATATTTTCGATATTTAAGGCGGATATGGCAGCCATTTTTAAACTAATTGTACCCGTATCCATTAACAAGTCTGGTTTTTCCAGAGAAAGATTCAGATGGTACACTTTTGTTGAGACTCAACCGTCCATTTGCGCGGTGTAGAGATTTTAATTATTTTTACCCCAGTAGAGATTTTAAGGAATAGTTATTTTAAGGAATAGAGATTTTAAGCATTTTTAGCCTAGTAGAGATTTTAAGGAATAGCGATTTTAAGGAATAGAGATTTTGTATGGGAGCCAAACTTTTGACAAATTACCTGAGAAAAGTACTGCGCTTTTATAGTATTTTAAAAACTTGCTTTAGAAAATAAATTTAAGTAAAAAAAGTTTATAAACTTAAACTAAGTTTATTAAATAAACTTAAAAAAGTTTAAATTCAAACTTGAAAAAGTTTATTTAAGTTTAAACTTGAAAAAAAAGTTCAAGTTCAGACTTGAAAAGTTTATTTAAGTTTAAACTTGAAAAAAAAAGTTTATTTAAGTTCAAACTTGAAGAAGTTTATTAAGTTTAAACTTTAAAAAGTTTATTTAAGTTCAAACTTGAAGAAGTTTATTAAGTTTAAACTTTAAAAAGTTTATTTAAGTTCAAACTTGAAGAAGTTTATTAAGTTTAAACTTTAAAAAGTTTATTTAAGTTCAAACTTAAAGGTTTATTTGCTATTACAAACTTGAGTTTATAAAACTTAAAAGAAGTTTATAAACTAGAAAACTTAAGTTTGTTATAATCTTAAGTTTATTACAAACTTAACCCAAATTGCTTCAGGTTTCTTTTAATTATAAAAGAAGCTTTATAATAAATTTAAATATTTTACAAAACTAAAACTTTTTTTCTTTCATGTTTATATGCTGAAAAGTTTATATAAATAATTTTAGGTAAGATGACGAATTTTTTCTTGGCAATTCTTAAATTATTTTTAATGATTAATGTTGATTCATTTAAAAAATTTTTTTGTTAGCAAAGCCGACAGCTTGCTTTACAAAACTGTTGCATCCATGCGGATGTTGCACAGAATGGAAGCCAACGAAGGCAAGCACTTGGGGATGAGTCATGACAAACTTAAACACATTTTTTATATCAAAACATTCCAATGTTTATTTTAAAAAGTTAAAAATTTGCCTGCTTGTTGTGGTCGCAATGGTGGGACAAAACCGCGAGACTGGAAAGGTTGGAATTGTGGTCTTTGTTGTTGTTGTTCAGCAAAAGTTGGAGGAGGCGTGGTTGTTGATGGTTTCTATAATAAATGTTAATACTTGAAATAAATAAGCATAAACTTAAAACATTCCGAACAACATCAAAACACACACAAAACATTAAATAAACACAAACGAGAACCAAAAACAAACTCTAAACAAAATTACCTAACACAAACACCAAAAACACAAACTTCAAAAACATTAAATAAACCTGAAACACATCAAACAAAACAAAGTTCATTTAATGTTGTTTTTAACAAACAAAAACAAACTCAAAACATTAAAAACACAAACATTAAACAAACTTGAAGAAACATAAACAAGCTTCAAAAATATTAAACAAACTTGTAAAACAAAAAACTCGAAATACAACAACTAAAACAAACAACAAAAAACATAAAAAATACAATTAACTCAAACATGAAAAAACAAAAACACAAACATTAAAAATACAAAAACACAAACATAAAAATACAAACCTCTAAGAAACGAGGAGACTGTTGCGCAAACCCAGGTCCTTGTAATATTCGTTGTGGAAACGCCTGTTTTTAAAAACTTAATGTTTTTATAAATGTTTTAATGTTTTACTTGATGTCTGCTAGCCGGTAAACTCCTGCTTAATGCTTGTTCAAGTTGGGCAGAGTCTTTACCATTAAACATCTAAAAAACACAAAACTTGAATTTTTCAAGTTTAAACTTGAAACCTGAAATGTTTCAAGTTTAAATGTATCAGCAGGCGGCGGTGTTGTTGGAGGGGGAGAAAGCCAACCCAAGCCATTTGGGAAGAGTGAACATGGAGGTAATGGGGCCTTTAAAAAAAATTTTTTAATTTTAATTAAATTTTATTTTTTATTAAATTTTTATTTACCGATAGAACAGATTTAACCCAAAAACGGCGTAACGACTGCACTACTGTGGCACTAGAAAATATTTTTTTACAAAAATTTCCAAAAAAAATTTTTTTTCAAATTTATCAAAAACTCCTCACACAAATTGAACAGTATCCGTTTGCCCATCTCCCCTCCACCACAATTTTAATCTTTCTTTCCCCTCATCGTGACTATGGGTAACAGAATCGCGTTGTCTAAAACATTGAAACTGCCAAGAACCATTATCTTTAAAAAGTTTTTTGAAAATTTTTTTTTGAATTTTTTAAAAATTAAATTACCATCAAGATGAACAAATTGTCCACTTCTAAAACCAGTTCTTGCCCCATTAAAAATTATTGGTTGCATTGAAAATCCTTTAAATAGAGAAGTGCTTGCATTGCCTCGAAGAATTACTGAAAAATTATTTTAATTTAAAAAAATTCTGAAATAAATTCTGAAAAAAATTCTGAAATAAATTCTGAAAAAAATTCTGATTTTTAATTCTGGTAAAAATTCTGATTCTGAAAAATTCTGAAAAAATTCTGATTTTTAATTCTGAAAAAAATTCTGATTTTTGAAAAAATTCTGAAAAAAATTCTGATTTTTAATTCTGAAAAAAAATTGATTTTTAATTCTGAAAAAAAATTCTGATTTCTGAAAAAAATCTGATTTTTAATTCTGAAAAAAAATTCTGATTTCTGAAAAAAATCTGATTTTTAATTCTGAAAAAAAAATTTTCAAAAGATTGTTCAAAAATTCCCAAAAAATCACCTACAAGCAACTGGCTGTCCTGGTCTATAGCACTTCTCATCCAACTGTATTTGGAAAGGAGGTTCAGTTAATTGAAGTCCTCCCTGGTGCTCTACAGCTTCCAACGGATTCATAGAATCAATTACAGTTCTAAGACAAGGAGCGCCATCAGGCCAAGCAGAAACGGGCAAACTGGCTAGCAAGTTTATAGCAAGGATTGACAGGGTTGTTAGCAACATTTTTAGAAGAAAATTCTGAAAAAAAAATTCTGAAATTTTTTCTAGGTTTTGTGGACAAAGCAAAAATTTTCTTTTTTACCTTTTATTAATCGGTTGGTTGTTGGCCCTGTTCAAAAATTTAATTGAACACTCACACACAATTTTAGTATAAATGTATTGTGTGTACAAACGTCTTTTTGCCTTTCTCCAATAAACTAGTAGGTGACCTCGCGCAGCTTCCAAAATTTATTTTTTTTTCTTCCTTTTTTCTTCATTTTTATTTTCTCGTCAAATTGATTGCGTAAATTTACATTTAATAAAATTTTTGTTGTAAAATTAACTTTGCTGCAATTTATTGTTATGCTGCACATTTCTTTTAATTGCTTGTAAGGACAAAGCAAAAATACAATAAAAAGACCAACCTAAATTGTAAAATATACATAAGTTTTAAAGTTTTACAATTACTATTCTTCTCGATACAATTAAAAGAACAATTAAAAAATCAGAACAAGTTTTACAAACACTATTGTAATAAAAATACGCCTGTTTTGAAAAAATACAAAAACAAATGTTTTTGTATTTTTAAATGTTTTGTATTTTCGAATGTTTTGAGAAATGTTTTAAAAAATACAAACAAAACACATAAAATGTTTGTAAAACACAACAGTATTCTCATTTAAAGTTTGCTTGTTTGTTGAGAAACATTATTAAAATTAAAAACACATGTTTTGAGAAAACACAAACATTAAATAAAACATTGTTGTTCTGATTCTTGTTTGTTCATTCAATTATATCTAGAAAAACATTAAAATTAAAAACACACATGTTTTAGAAAACACACATGTTTTGAAAAACACATGTTTTGAAGACAAAAAATACAAAATGTTTTTGATAACCATTTAAAATACAAAAATACAAAATATAATTTTTATTTCTTTGTTTGTATTTAAAACAAAAACACAAAATTGTAAAAAATACAAAAACAAAAATACATGGTAAAATACATAAATTGTAAAATACATAAAATTATAAAAAAATATATACATATAAACAATTTTTAAAGTTTTTGAGAGAGATTTATTTGAGTTTGTTTGTTTGTTTGTGCTTGACTTGAGAATATTTTTTGTGTGACTTGAGAAACTACAAGATTTTTTTTAAAATTGTACAAAAATTAGGTTTCAATAATTTTTTTATTTTTCTTCTTCATTTTTTTCCTCCTCTTTATTTTTATTAATACCCAAGAGTGATACTTTAACTACTAAAGCATCATTATTATTTGTATTATCTGAACTAGAAATATTTTTAATATTTTTATTTTGTTGTTGTTTTTCTTTGGTAAAATGTTTAGGTATTAATTGAAAAATATGCCATTTATTATTATTATTATTTTGATTATTATTATTGGTGATTGGAAGCATAGATTGTTCAATATTTCTTTGCTAAAAAAATTAAAAAAAAATTTTTTTTCAAATAAATCAAATTTCCTTCCTTACTTTTCCACATTTCCTGTATTTTGAATTAAACAATACAGCCAATAATAAATAAATTGCAAAAAGTAAAAGTAGAGCAAACGCGGGTATACACACAATTAAAGCAGCAACAATAAATAACCAATGAGGTTGAGGCCAAGTTTGTTGTTGTTGTTGTTGGGGTAAATGTTTGTTGTTGTTATTATTGATACCTTAATTCATTAAAAATAATTATTTTTAATTAAACTTGTTTTGTTTCTAAAAATATAAAACACAAAAAAATACAACAAATTAAAAGTACAAAAATACAACTCATTAAAAATATAAAAACACAAAACATGGGAACCTAACAAACTTAAAACCTTATTGAATTAAAACTTGTTTCAAAAATATAAAACACAAAAAATACAAAAATTGAAAATACAAAAAAAATAAACTTAGAAACCTAAACAAGCTTAAAACTTAATAAATTAAAACTTGTTTTGTTTAACTAAAAATAGAAAATACAAAAATTAAAAACACTATAAACTTTGTTTTGCTCACAAAAATACAAAATACAAATAAACTTGAAAAATAAAACATTTTTTTTCCAACCTTTTGTTGTTGTTGTTGTTGAATTATTCTGTTGTTGCAAATTTTCAAAAAGTAGTGTTTCTTCACTTCCTCTTTCAAAGGCAACAAGTTGTTGCTGTTGTTCTTTATTATTCTCAGCTAGTTTTTGTTGTTGTAAGCATAATTGTAAACACCAATTCATTCCTGTTGTTTCGACTTGTTGATTATTTTGAATTTTATCTGTTGTTGAAATGATTGGTAGAGATAAGGAAGAACAAGGTGGACAGTGGATTTCTACACATTTAAGCATGCCGCCTAAAAGGCAACTGCAGTTACGGAAAGGACCATCCTAAAAATACAAAAATATTATTAATGTTGTGTTTTAAAAATAAACTTGAATTAAAACAAAAACACAAAAATAAAATATGATTAAAACACAGAAAACAATGAAAACCACAAAACAAATAAGGCCTAGAAAAACACAAAAATAAACAAACTTGAATTAAAACATAGAAAAATACAAAACAAATAAACTTAAATTAAAAAAACACAACAAAAATAAAAACAAAATACACAACCAGAAAACACAAAATAAAATGAACCTAAATGAAAGGAAACACAAAAAATACCAAACAAAAAAATACAAAAACACAATAAATACAAAATAAATACATTTTAAACACAACCTGAAAATTCTCCCCAATACTATAAGCACGATCATTATACAAACAATTTTCTTTTGTTACTGGTTCACAATTTGATGTAATATTGATAGAATCGTATTGTTGTTGTTGTTTATTTTCTTCTCCAATTTCAACATTATTATTTTCTCCTCCATCTCCAGCACATTTACACTCAAAACATCCAGTAAAATTGTTTTGATTCAACCCATATTGACAAAGTAATTCACAATTTGAAAGGGATGGACAGGAAGATGAAGAGGAAAATGAAGATTCTAAAGCTATTGTTGGGCCATCTAAAAAAAAAAATAATTTTTTTGAAAAAAATTAAAAAAAAATCACAGAAAAATATTTCAAAAAAAATTTCAGAAAAAATTTTAGAAAAAAAAATTCAAAAAATTTCAGAAAATTTTCTGAAAAATTTTCAGGAAAAAAATTTCAAAAATTTTTTCTAAAAAATTTTTGCAAAAAAAATTTTCAAAAAAATTTTCAGAAAAATTTTAAAAAAAATTTATTTTTTAATTTACCCTCGCAAATAGGACAACATTCATTACTTCCAGCAGGTTTAGGCTCTTCACAATCTGTTTGACAAATATATTTTTGACATTGCCAATGAAAATCATCATCATCAAAATTTTCTTCGCTTCCCCCACAAGTACAATTTGTACACCCATCACGTTCCCAATTTGATCCAGGCAAATAATTTTTGCCATTATCATCAGTACATCCCAAACAGACTGGGCAACATTCTCCTTGTGAAAGACCAACCCATTGACAATCCGCTTAATTTTTAAAATTCTTTTAAAAAAATTTTTTAAACAAAGAAAGCTACGTGATAAGGCTGGGCATTCCATTCGTTTGCATAATGCAACACCAGCAGAGCTACACTAAAATTTAAAAAAAAATAGAAATTAAAAAAAAATAGAAATTAAAAAAAATAGAAAATATGAAAAAAGAGAGAGCGGTAAAATATAGCCTCGAGCAGGCACTGATACTTGGCAGTTATTGCTAGGAGGTTTGGTTTAACTTTGGTTTAACTCATTTTCCTTAAGTGATGTTCAAGAAAGACAGAGAAAAATTTCCAAGATTTTCTTGCGGCAAAAAAAAATTCCCAAAAAAATATTAGTTCAAAATTTAATACCAAGAATCTCTTTCACATCACTGCCCAAAATAATTATGAACTAAAAAATATTTACTTCACATTCCTGACACGGTGCTGCATGCCAATGTTCACCTTTAGCATAAATATGACCTTTAAAAAATTTTTTTTAATTTTAAAAATTTAAAAAATACACCTCCATAACGGCAACCACTATTACTACTAGATTCTAAAAATAATCCTTCAATTTCATCCCCTTCATTTACACATTTAAATTTATCACAACATTGACCAGGTTCTCCTCTGCCTCGTTCTAATATTAGCAGTTGCTGTTCTGGTAAACATAGAGCCTTAAAAATAGAAGAAATAAAGTTTAAACTTGAAAAAAGCAAGTTTTACAATTAAGAATTACAAATTGTAAAATAACAAAGAGAATAGAAAATTAAACTTTAATAATTAAACTTGAAAACTTTCTTTTTACAATTCTAAATTACAAATTGTAAAATTTAAATAAACTTGAAGTGACACAAAGTTTTTCAAGTTTAAACTTAAAGTCACTTCAAGTTTATTTAAACTTTACAACTACATAATTTGTAATTGTAAAAAATGTTTTCAAGTTTAATTAATATTCTGTATGTCATTTTACAATTTGTAAATTTATAATTGTAAACAAGTTTTAAGTTATATCTTTTTCAAGTTTAAGCTTAAAGCGAAAATTAAACTTTTAAGTTTGAACTTGAAAATTAAATATACAACTTTTCTATTATAAAAAATAAGTATTACCGGTTCACAAATGCTCAGTTTACATTGACATTGCGATATGATTGGACAACAACCGCCAGTTGGAATGTAAGGTTTAGGCCGGTAACTAGAAAAACATTTTGAAAAATTTTTTATGAATAATAGGTTTACCTATCATCTGGGCAAGTGTGTCCATCGGGCGAATAAGGATCCAAAATTATTGAAGAAGTGTCAGGGCAGTGAACATTTTGACAGTTTGGTTCTTTAAATAAATTTTACTTAGAATAAAAATTTTTAAAAACCATTTAGTCGACATTCAAATTGATCACAACATTGTCCAGGCTTATCACTTCCATTGTGTGTAAATGTCAATTCTGTTCCTTCAGGGCATATTGGGACTAAACACTTTTGGGAATCGCATTTACATTCTACTTTAGTTAAGGAACAACAATTATCTTCTGCCAAGGAAGAATTATCAGTTGTTGGTGTGAAGCTAAGGATAGGCTAAAAAATAGGGAAAATGATTCAACTAACAGAAGAATTTTAAATTTGAAGAAAATTGCATACTTGAAAAATATAATTATTAGAAACTTGAGTTTAAACTTAAAAATAATAAAAATGAAGTTTGTAAACTTAAAGAAAATTAAACAAACTTGAGCTTTCAAGTATTGTTTGTTTAACAAAAAATTAAAGTTTAAGCTTAAATTCAAGTTTTACAATTACAAGTTTAAACTTAATATAAATAAGTTTTACAATTTCAAGTTTAAACTTAGATTCAAGCGTTAAAATTTCAAGTTTTATTTTCAAGTTTAAGCTTAATATAAATAAGTTTTACAATTTCAAGTTCAAGCTTGTTTTATTTCTCTTAAGTTCTCTCTTAAGTTTTATTTATTCTCTAGTAGAAAACTTTAAAAAAAACAAACTTACAACTGAATCACTAGGACAATCGGGAAATGCAATAGGGCAATCAACATGTAAACAACGATCTGTTGAAGTATTGCTACTACTAGATGTTGTTGTTGTTGAAGTAGAAATCTCGTCAGTTAAATCATCCAACGTTGTCAATTCTTCTTGTCTAGCAGATTTTAGAACATTTGCTTCTGCTTCATTTTTTGTTTTATTTTTTGCTTCAGTTTTATTACTTGCTTCAATTTCTTCTTTTGTTTCATTTTCTTTTTTAGTTTCATTTTTATTTCTATTTGCTTCAGTTATTCTATTTGCTTCAGTTTTTGATGCTTCTTCATTTTTCATTGTTATTGTTGTTTCCGTTACTTCTTCTCCTCCTCCTTCTCTTGCTGTTGTTTCTGTATTATTATCAAGTTTTGTTGCTTCTTGTTTTGCAAATAATATTAATATCAAAAAGAATACCAGAAACATTTTTTTAAAAATAAATTAATTTAAATTTTTTTAACAGTAGATATGTAGCAAACAATTTTGAAAATGATAAAGGCAGGTAGTTGATGCCATTCAAAAAATATTTTTTAAAAATTTTGCTTCAATCTTCTCTTATTTTTTTATCAATTTTCTAAAAATAAAAAATATGTTTTTTGTTTTTAATTTTGCAAAATTTTATTTTTTTTAAATTAAAAATGTAAATTTTATTGCAAAAATTAGAGACGTGAGAAGATTTTTATTTTTAAAAAATAGAAGAAAAAAGAAAAATGGCAAAAGAATGTTTAGAAACGGAAAAGAGAGATATTCTTTGCAAAATAAACAAAGGATGATGATGATACTGCTACACTTTGTGTGAGTTTGGAAGAATTTTGAAATAGAATATTTATGTAAAACAAACAAAATGTAAAAACAAACGTAAGCAATTTTAGGTACATATTTAACTTATTGTTTAATGTAAGAGTAAATATTTATCCGTGAAAGAGATGAAGCAACAAAAATTAAACCAGAAAAGGTGAAGCAAAAAAGTGAAGCAACAAGTGTTAAGCAGAAGCAAAAAAAATGAAGTAGAAAGATGAAGCAAGAAAGGTGAAGCAAGAACTTGAAGCAAGAAAGGTGAAACTAAAAACTTGAAGCAAAAAGGTGAAGCAATAAAAGTTGAAGCAAAAATATGAAGCAAGAAGGTAAAGCAAAAACTTGAAGCAAGAAAGATGAAGGAAAAACTTGAAGCAAGAAAGTTGAAGCAAAAAGGTGAAGCAAAAAACTTGAAGTAAAAAAGGTGAAGCAATAAAAGATGAAGCTTAAAAATAATAAAGCAATAATATAATCCATATAATAAAATGATCTTTTGCCAGTCATTTTTATATACAAAAATAAAGGAAATAGATAATAAATAAAAGAGGATCTCTCAGATTTATTTTTAAATGGCTTTTGTTATAAATATTTTATGAAGAGGAAAAATAAAGGGAAGGAAGTATGGGGGAGGAAGAGGAAGGGGTTTAGTGGGGTAAGAGGAATTCCGTCATCAAAATGAAGTAAATGAGAAGCTTCTTCTTGCCACTTACTAAAAATATAATACACTAAAACAATTCTTCTCTTTTCACTCAAGTTGCTCTCTTAAATAAAAAGGTGGAAGAATAAAAAAGGTGGAAGAATATAAAAGGTGGATTGGAATGTTTGGAATGAGTGGTGGTGGACAATGACTAATATATATTTGAGAGATTTTAAAAGGACATAAAAATATTAAAATAAATTTTTGAAAAAAAATTTTTTTCGTCTAAAACCCTCCTATTGGTCAGATATTTTGCAAAAATAATTAATGATGAAACAAAAGATTTTTGGGCCAGAAAAGAAAAATGGAGAAGGGAAAAAAATGTCAAGTAAACCGGAAGGAAGTGAAAAGTATAGTTGTTGGTGTTGGGGGGAATAAAGAGATAAAATCACTCTTTATTCTTTCAACAGGGGAGAAATGACACAATATAATTTCTGAAATTTTTTAAATAAAAGTATACTATCAGAATTCAAAGTTTTTAAAATCAGAATTGTATATAGGAATAATAAACACAACAGTAATGTTTTAAATTAATTCTGATTCTGAAAATCAGAAATTCAAACAAACATTTTTTTCTGATTTACCGATTGTTTATTAAAAATTCTGATTTAGATAAAGATTCTGAAATAACAGAGAAATTAAGATTTTATAATTGATTGGAAATTCTGGTTTAGATAAAAATTCTGGTATAACAAAGAAATTCTGACAGAGAAATTCTGATTATTTGTTTAAAAATTCTGATACAAAAATAGAAATTCTGATTCTAAAATAGAAATTCTGATTTAATATTTATAAAATTAAATTCTGATTTCTATTTATTATTTTCTAAACTTGTTTTGTTTGTTTGAATGTTTTTAAATCAGAATGTTTGTTTGAATTTCTGATTTTCAGGAATTAATTAAAAGAAACATTTCTATTGTGTTTAAATTGCTTTTTAAACAAACTTAAATAGTATCCGTTCCCAACATTATGAATAATAAATATAAACAATAAAATGAATCAGCAACAATGAGAATATTTATAAGCGATTAATTACAAAAGTTGGAAAGAGTGATCAAAGAATAAGGAAATTATTTTTTGTTTATTTTAAAAAATAAAAGTTTCCAAGTTTTCCCCTTATTTTCTGACAATTAAATAAATTAATTTAAAAATATTCTTTGACTTAAAAAAAGATTAAAAAATAATGATTATTTGAGTGAATGTCTCTGTTTGTTTTTAAACCCTCTCAAAAATATGAAAACTTATAAAAATTTATTTTTAGAAGAAGTTTAAAGAGGTTTTTAATTTTTGTTTCTTGTTTGTTTTTATGCGCGTTTAAAATAAAAATTTAGAAAAAAATCAAAAAATAAAACAGCTGACTTTGTAGGCTGATTTTTATTTTTATGTTGTTTGTTATTATTAAACTGAACGGAAGCGAAGAAAAAAATGCAGCTTTTATGAAATGAGAGGAGAAAAGGTGAAATTTTACAATGATGACGAAGTTGTTTGATGGAATGATTAGAGAGGAAAGATGACAAGCTTAGATAGGAAAAAAGAAAAAATGATTTTTGAAAAAGTGGACAAATAAAAAATTATTTTGCTAATAATATAAGCAAAAAATAATGCTGCAAAAATTTTAGGTGGATTTTTGAAGCATTTTAAAAAAAGAACAAAAATCAACGGGAGAAAATAAAATGATGAAGCAAAATTATAAAAAACAAGAACAATAATAAAAGCAAAAACTTGAAGCAGGCGGAAATAAATTCAGAAACAAAATAAATAAAAATTCTGGTTTTTACTAAGTTTGTTTTAATTTCTGATTTTCATAAATGTTTAGAAGAAACATTTCTGTTGTGTCTATTAAAAATTCTGATTTAAATAAAAAAAATTCTGATTATTTATTATATTCTGAAACTTGTTTTGTTTGTTTTAATTTCTTTTTTAAATCAGCAAAGTTTAATTGAATAAAATTAAAACTTGAAGCAACTTAAAATAGGTACATATATAAAGATGAGCTTGAAGCAGGCGGAAATAAATTCAGAAAAAAGAAAAAACTTGAAGCAATTACAAATTCGTTGTAAAAACTTTGGAAATTTTTACAATTTTGTAAACTAAACTTTTTTAATTAATTAAAGTTTAAAAAACATTAATTGATCATTAGAAAATAAAAAAGAAAGGTTGAAAAGTGAATGCATAAAAATGCTGAATAAAAGACGAAAATAAAAAAAAAAGTTTTTTTTTGAAAAATTAATTCGTTTTTAAATTATTTCTTTTTTGGAATCAATGAGTTAAAAAAAGATTTTTTAAATGTGTGAATTTTTCTGTAGCGGAAAAAGAAATGATCTTGAAAGAAATTAAAAGTTGTGAACAGATTTGAAGAAAAAAGAAAAGAAAAGGAAAATTTTTTTAAAAAGATTTTTTTTAATTAAAATAAAAAATAGAAATAAAAATTAGCATAGCAGCAGACACACAAGTCGAAGAGATCAATCCCCGTAAAATATCCCCCCCCCCCAAAAAATTAAATATCTAGTAATGTTTTTTTTAAATTGGCCATGAGTAGCTGTCTAAAAAGTGTGCAAGTGATATACCTTCCTAATTTAAATTATTATAAGATACAATTTTTTAAAGCTTAAGAAGAGTATTTAATGAGTTTCAACTGTATTATTAAACTATAAATGAAAGATTAAATAGAGCAACAACCACCATAATAAAGCCTCAACCTATAGAAAACCCATAAACGACCATAAACGGCCTCCCCTCCACCCCATCTTCCTCAAGCACGACAACCTCAAGACCATAAACTAAAGGCAAATAGTAATAAAATAATAATAATAATAATAGACCGGAATAAAACAAAAATATTTAAATGAGAAAAATAATATTTAAAATATTATATAGAAAAAGCCAGTACCCAAAGGTAATTATTAGTTAAGAAAAAAAGGAAAAAAAAGAGAAAAAGCATGCGCACGCAAATGCCATAAATAAATATTACTTTTATTTTATTGTGAGGGCATAAAGCACCTACCTAATAATTACAAAAAAAATAATTTTTTTTCAAATAGGACATTAAAAAATTTTTTCTATAATTATTAGGTGGTGGTTTATGTCCTTACAATAAAATAAAAGCCAGCCAGAAAGAGAGATTTTGTTATTAAGTAAAATTAGAGGATGAATTAGTGGATGAAAGTGTTGGTGAGTTAGTCTGTGTTTGTGAGACTGTTGTGGAAGTGTTTGGGCCCGAAGAGTTAAATAATATACTTGAGAGAAAAAAATTGAAGTTAAATTATATATAGAAGATAAATAAAGATGTGTGTGAATAGAAAGTAATAATCATTTTTGAGTTATAGAAGGCACTTTTGAGTTAGAAAAGTACCCACAATCTTATTAGATAATTAACCCAAAAGGAAAAAATCGTAAAAAAAAGAAAAAATTGGAATAATAAAATTAAATTGGCACTTGGGATTGTAAACTAGTAGTAGATATTGTTAGTTAGCTTTTTACCCAATTAAATTAAAAAAAATATTTTTTTTTTGCCTTTTTTAAAATAGGGAAGGAAGCTTACTTATTGTTAAATACAGAAACTTAAAAAAATTTTTCCCTAAATTTTTTAAATTAATTTTTAACCGAAGATGGAAGCTTACAAAAAATGTGTGTATGTGTTTATAATATTTTTGTTTATTTTTTTTCCTAAAAATAAAATTTTTTCCAATAAAAAAATACAAATTTATTATTATACATATTATTAAAAAATTTTGTGTGTGAAAATTTGAAAAATACAATTTAAAAAAATATACAAAATTTCAAAAATTTTTTCCGAAATTTTCAAGAAATAATTTTTGGAAATTTTTTAATTTTTTTAAAAATTTTCCAAAAATTTTCCAAAAATTTTTCAAAAAAAAACAAAACACCAAAAAAAACATAAAATATATACGAAACACATACACACACATTTATGTATTTCCTTTCATCATCGTTGTATAAATTATACAAAAAAAATTTAAAAAACCTCAGAATCCCCACTGGCCAACTCTGACGGATTCACCAATTGACTTAATAGACGAAAGAAGTCACCGCTACACATTTGTTGCAAATCATAGACTAAAGGATGTCCATAACGACGTTTATATTCGTTGCAAATGTCGTATAAATCAATCTAGAAAATTTGAAAAATTTTTAAAAATTCCAAAAAAAAATTTAAAAGAAACCTCGCTTCGACTAACTAAAATTCGTATAATTGATGAGTGATCAGGCCTATTTTGTGATATAGCTTCATGTAAACGCTCTGCAAAGTATAGTTGCATATTCTTTGCAATTCTCACTAAAATAAAATAATTAAAAAATTAATAATTTTATAAAAAAATTGGAGATAACAACTATTAATAGATAAGGGAAAGTAGGAGGTTACCCGAAACCATGACTTGTCTTTTGAGCCTAACCCGATCCAAAAAACTGTTGAAATCCCACCCCAACTTTATTCAAAAAACGACTCATCACTATTCCCTGCCTAAGCGACTTTATTCAAAATCGCTTGTTAGTGAAGTTGTTGTTGCTTATTCAAAGTCGCTCAGGCAGGTCCAAATACGAATTCTCCCCAAATACGAATTTTTGGTACCAAATTTCAGGGTTACCCAAAAGTAAAGTATCCAAAAGTAAAGTAAGTTCGACTCTATCCCCTTTCAAAAAAAACTTAAAAAATTAACCATAAAGAAGTATTGCTTGTTTAACATCAGAATGAATATTTACACATTTTCGAATGCTTGTCTCAAAATCACGTCCACGGCGTTCTTGACTACGTTCACGACTTTTAGCATGA